AAGAAAGGAAATTTAGACTAAACATCAGGAAGAACTTTCTGGCAGCAAGAGCTGTTAGGTAGTGGAACGGGCTCCTTTGGAAGGTCGTGGGCTCTCCTTCCTTGGAGGTTTTTAAGCAGAGGTTGGATGGCCATCTGTCATGGATGCTTTAAGTTGAGATTCTTGCATTGCAAGGAGTTGGAATAGATGACCCTGGAAGGTCCCTTCCAACTCTAGTTTCTGAATACCAGTTGCTATTGCACTAGGGACCTGGCTTGCAGGCTTCGTACTGGGGCATCTGGTCGACTACTGTGGACCAGGATTCTGAACGGGATGGGCCACTGGTCTGATCCTGCTACAGGGCTCTTTTGATGCAATTCTTTCACAGGTTTGCAAAAATTCAGCTTTCCATGAGGCAGTACTCCCTGCACCCTGAAGCAGAAACCCAGCCCCACAGAGCATTCACAGTCCTGCTTATGGATCTCTGGAAGTTTTTATTTTACCTGAAAAAGAGAGGGTGGGGAGGAGGAAGTTGCAAGAGTTGCCAGAGGCTCCATTGCACAAGGGAAGCCTACACCACAATGAGCCCTGCTGCCGCCACTCCTGCCAAAGAAAAGCGAAATTGCATCAGGGGCTCGAAAGTCATCCTTTACTCACATGAGGATTCCGGCTCCTTGGAAAAGGGGGAGGGAGGGAGTAGGCATTGCGAAAGAGGGGCCGTTTTGTTGTCTTGGGCAACCGGAGGCCGTTTAAGAAAATAAAATAGATGAATGAAGAAGAAGAGGAGGAGGAGGAGGAGTTTGGATTTGATATCCCGCTTTATCACTACCCAAAGGAGTCTCAAAGTGGCTAACATTCTCCTTTCCCTTCCTCCCCACAACAAACACTCTGTGAGGTTAGTGGGGCTGAGAGACTTCAAAGAAGTGTGACTGGCCCAAGGTCACCCAGCAGCTGCATGTGGAGGAGCGGAGACGCGAACCCAGTTCACCAGATTACGAGTCCACCGCTCTTAACCACTACACCACACTGGTGAAGCTTCTACCCACTTTCCAAAATTGCTCCCACAATCCACGGGCTGGCTCCATGGCCTTGTTTCTGCAGAACAAGATCTCAAGGCAAGAGCTGGGATGCATCAAGAAGGGAAAGAACCTGTGTCTGTGGAAAGCGTAACCCGTAAAGAACCACCCCATAGCCTTGTAGGAGGTTGCCTTATACAGTGGTACCTCAGGTTACAAACACCTTGGGTTACAAACACTTCGGGTTACAGACTCCACTAACCCGGAAGTAGTACCTCGGGTTAAGAACTTTGCCCCAGGATGAGAACAGAAATCGCACGGCGGTGGCAGTGCAGGAGGCCCCATTAGCTAAAGTGGTACCTCAGGTTAAGTTTCAGGTTAAGAACGGACCTCCGGAACGAATTACGTTCGTAACCAGATGTACCACTGCACCCAGACAGAGCATTGCTGTTTGTAGCTCAATCATCAGCAGTATCGTCTACACGATATCATCAGCAGCTCTCCAGGGGTTGAGGCAAGGAGTCTCTCCCAGGCCTTACCCTGCAGGTTTGATTTATTTCATTTCATTCATTCAAATGAATCTCAAAGTGGCGTACAAACAATCAATAACAGTGATCTAATAGAACATCGCAAATGCATACAAACAATTAACAAATCATAAATAAAATAATCCATAAAACACTATTAACAAAATAGCAACTAAAAAAAAAAGAAATAAGCTAAGCACTGCTAAGTTCATACACATTCTCCACACCCCCATGACTCGCAATCCTCCTCTCTATTCAGCTCTACCCAACAAGGAAAGTTTCAACTTTGACCAAATTTCCAAATCCTTCTTAATTTCCGACCAACATTTTTCATAATTGTCTTTAAATAAATTCAAATTTTTTACGGTCAAATGAACCCCTAAGTATTTCACTTTTTTAACAACACTTAGTTCTGTTTCTTTCTGAAACCCCTCTGTTTCTGTAAGTGTCAAGTTTTTGGCCAAAACCTTGGTCTTTTGCTTGTTTTCTTTGTGCAGAACAGGGGCTCTACTACGAAGCCACAGCCCTTCCTCTACTGGCAACTGACACCAGCAGGTTAAAATCAAGCTTGCTTTGAACTCTTGTCTGCTTCTGAAAGTAGAAAAGGGACCTCTGCCATGCAGAGACGATGGCAATGCTAGGTGACTAGTCAGTCGGGGTCTGAAGCTTGTCGCGCACTAGGAGAGTGAAAATCAGCAAGAAACCATCCCCTCTGTATTGTGGTCCCAACTCTGTGGAACTCCCTCCCACTAAAAGCCAGGCAGATGGTGGCTCAGTCATGCAGGATATTTTCCATAGAGTTGGAAGGGACCCTGAGGGTCATCTAGTCCAACCCCCTGCAATGCTGGAATCTCAGCTGAGGTATCCATGATAGGTGGTCATCCAGCCTCTGTTTAGAAACCTCCAAGTAAGGAGAGCTCACAACCGCCTAAGGGAGACCGTTTCACTGCTGAAGGTTCTTACTGTAAGAGTGCTTCTGTTTAGTTGGAATCTCTTTTCTTGTAACTTGAAGCCACTGGTTCAGATCCTACTCTCTGGAGCAGGAAAAAACAAGCTGGCTCCCTGTTCCACGTTACAGCCCTTGAGATACTTGAAGATGGCTATCATATCTCCTCTCAGTCTCCTCTTTTCCAGGCTAAATATACCCAACTACCTCAAACGTTCCTCATAAGGCTTGGCTTCCAGCCTTTTGATCATCTTGGTTGCCATCCTCTGCACAAATTCAATATCCTTCTTAACTTGTGGTGCCCAGAATTGGGCACAGTATTCCAGGTGTGGTCTGAGCAAGGCAGAATAGAGTGGTACTATTACTTTCCTTGATTTGGACACTAGACTTCTGTTGATGCAGCCTAGAATAGCATTGGCTTTTTTTGCTGCTGCTGCATCACAGTGTTGACTCATGTTGAGCTTGTGGTCTATTATGACCCCTAAATCCTTTTCACATGTACTGCTAGTAAGCCAGGTGTCCCCCATCTTATATTTGTGCATCTGGTTCTTCCTGCCTAAGTGCAGAACCTCACATTTGTCCCTATTGAAATTCATTTTGTTACGTTTTGGCCCAGGTTCTCAAATATCTTAAGGTCATTTTGAATCCCAATCCTGTTTTCTGTGGCGTTAGTTACCCTTCCCAGTTTGGTGTCGTCTGCAAATCTGATGAGCATCCCCCCAGTTCCTGCATCTGTTTATAAATATATTGAACAACAACAGGCCCCAGACAGAATTCTGTGGCACTCCACTTGCCACTTTCCCCCCAGGGTGCTGAGGAACCATTAGTAAGAATTCTTTGGTTTCCGTCAGTCAACCAGCTACAAATCCAAATTTTGACCATTGTGCCTATTTCACAGTCAAGGAACACTGAGGTGGAAACATCAAGTGCTTAAGGGCAAGGCAAGATGTGTAAATATATCGTTCATTTTATTTACATGCAGTTTCACGAACGAGTTGTTGTTCCAGTGGAGAGTACCAAATAGGAAACATCAAGACTGAGAGAGAACATTCCCACTGAGCAAGCAGTGCTAAGCGTAAGTGCACTACAATACTATGATCCTATGATGGCTGTGTTTTTGTGGAGTTGTGTGAAAGCCTCGCTGACTTACTGCAGCAAGGGGAAATCTACCAGTCCCCTGGGGTAAAGCAAAAACAGCATATGTACTTCTGAGTTTGAACAGAGAGCATTACACTTATTACTCAGTCCACACTCACTTTTCCCCAAGTTCCTAACTCCCTGCAAGTTGGAAAGCAAGTTAAAGATCAGAGGGTAGTGGGTGCCAGTCATCTAAAAGCCCCCAGGTCTCAGTCTCTCTCTCTGAAGAGCTGAATGCCAGGTTATGTTTGCAACAGTTAGCGGTTGCCTTGAATTTTTGATGGATGCCAATTACAGATTTAAAAGCACTTAGTCACTCATGCGCGGGTGATAAATCCTTTCAAACAGGTTTTTCCAACCTGCAGCGGAAAACCTGTATTCCTTCTGAGTTCAGGCCTTCAGCATCTCTTTCCCTGCTTTTTAACAAGCCAAACAACGCCACCAAAGAAAATATTGAAGAGTCACTGAAGCCTAGTAAAAATTGACTCCTGGCCTGGCTCTTTATGATACGCCCCAATATCCGGCTTGCTATCAGAAGGTCACGTTTCTGTCCTACTAAAAGGAAAAAGGGGGTGCAGAGCCGTGCAAAAGCCAACAGCACAGGTTGATCTAGAACACCTGAACGCAATGGTTTACTCAACTGTGAGTCAAGGGTTCTCTGTCCATGCTCAGGGGCACCCTGTCATAGCTTCGTTTTTGTTCCGGAGCTCAACTGCGGCATTAAGGACGTGCCTTTTCTTTTCCTTCGAGCGGATGAAAGCCAAACTGAGTCAGAGTTGGGTGGTGACCCACGTCACCTGTTGCCCCAACTTCAAGTATTCTTGAACCAGAAAAGAATCCCGCTCCTTCCTCTCCCCCCCCTTGCCCCCTCCCCCTCCGCCAAGTGTTTCGTAAGTGTGTTACGTAAGAGGAGGAGCCTGGCTGAATCAGATGCAGAGTGACCATCTAAAGTTTAATGTAGAGGCCGAAGTGGTGACCCAGCAGGAAACTTGACCGGAAGGACACCTTCTCCCCTCCCGTTTTCAGCAGCTGATGTTCAAGGGATATTTCCCCCCTAGCATTTTAGCAATCAATCAATCAATCAATCAATCAATCAATATCAAGGCAGACTGCCTCTGAGCATGGGAGGTTCAATTTTAAGCCACCACCATGGTTAAAAGGTCTTTGATAGAGCTCTCCTCTGTGAATTGACAGTCACCTGAGCTTTAAAAGACAAGAGCTGCAAGACAGAACCTATCATTAGGCAAAGTGAATTATCATTATTATTAGCGTTCCACAGATAGACAGACAGACAGACCAGGGCAGTTCAACTTTTCATGCCAAGTGGGCCACAAGAGAACTTCCAACACAGTGTGTGGGCCACACACTGAAGTAAATTTCCGTATCGTAAATAAAAAGTGTTCACAATATATTTAATATTATTTAATGTACACAATTTATATATTTAATTAAATATTTATAATTATATACACAACTAATAGGTTTAACTATTAAAGAAATTTTATACACCAACAGATGCATGCGCTTTCATTAGCAATGCATGACACACACAAAAATTTAATTTTTAAAAGCTTTAAGGTGTTCTTTCCCGAATGTTGCCGAGGGCCGCCAAAAAAAGCCTTGTGGGCTGCACCACCCTGATATACCAAAATGCTAAAACCACTTAAATACTAAAAGTAACTAAAACAACTTGAAAAGCACTTAACGTAAGTACCTACAAAGACCCCGATGGACCTGCTACCGGAAGGTTACGCAGGCCGGCCCTGAGTAACTATTTCCATGCACCAACTCCCATAACCATTAAAGAGACCTATTTGCATCTGATAAAGGATATTAGGGGCAGGGGGCAAGGTAGAATTTATGAGCTGAGCTGCTGTTGACTCAGTTCTGTGAAGAGGTGTGTGTGTGTGTGCGTCTCTCTTCCCTTCCCACCTGTGGGTCCTCCGCAGCTTTCCGGGAACAAGATGCAACAAAGATGAATCACTTGAGCAATTTGCACACACACCTGCCGTTAAATGCCCCCCTCCCCACTCTAGGCACCAGTTTCAGTGGGATCCCTTGTCAACAAGACACACCTTACGCATCCTTAGAAAAGAACAACTTGGCCTGACCCCGACCTCGACCCGCCAAGGCCCCTGGGGCTAATGCAGTAGTTCGCAGCGAGGCCAACCAATCAATGAGACCGCCAGCCAAGCTGCAATTTCTCAAGAAAAGGTATTTTAATTACGGGCCTCCGCAGGGGATGCAGTGACCATGAAAGACAGGCTGCCCAGCGCGAAGGAGAGAAACTTGGCATCCCTCCAAGAATGCGTTTCCACAAACAGCTTTTCTGAGAAAGAGGGTTCTGCTCTCCTGCGGCCTGGTTGTTGTACATGCTGCTCTGCCAGTCAACCAAGAAAAATGGCAAGATTTTGAGGGATCTTCGAAGAAGGCAGCGGGGAGGCTTTGATGTACGGCCTGGGCTGGTTCAGCTCTAGCAAACAAGGATTCCTTGCTTGATAAGATGACCTCAGTCTCCAAACTGTGGGGCATCGATGCAACTTGGTGAAGAACAAGGACCTTGAAACGTATCGTGACCTTGAGGTGCACTTGTGAAATGATTCACACACACACACAGCTTTTGCTGTTGTTTCTGTTACTTGTGGATGTCCTGGCAAGTTGATGATGGGGGTCTCACCTCTCCTTTAGAAGAGCTCTTCAGCATTTATGACACGAGCTTCCCGGAGCTCGTGGAGCCTGCGCAGCACCTCGTGCGAATCCCGCTCGCCGTATTGGTGATTGTTGCGGCTACGGACATTGACGGTGCGGCTGGACTTCTCCTTGCGGCCGACCACTAGAAGCAAGGACATAAGATTAAGGGGGGGGCTGATGGGTCAGGCCAATGGCCCATCGAGGTCCAGGGTCCTGTTCTCAGTGTGGCCAAATGCCCCGAAGAACCCAGTAATCTCGACAGTCTGCCTCTGAACCTGCAGGCTCCATAAGAATATCAGAAGAGCCTGCTGTATTGGACCAAAGGGGCCCACTCAGTCCAGCATCCTTTTCTCATAGGCCACTATGATGCTTGTGGTGAACCCGCAAACAAGACCCAAGCACAAGAGTAACACTCCCCTGCCTTGTGTCTTCCAGCAACTGGTATTCGGAAACATTGCTGCGTCCAGCTGTGGAGGAACAACACAGACTCTCCATCATGGCTAGTATCTATCCATAGGCGTCTCCTCCTCCTCCATGAATCTGTCTAATCCTACTCTGAAGCCATCCAAGCTGGTGGCCATCACTGCCTCCAGGGGTAGGGAGTTCAATAATAATAATAATAATAATAATAATAATAATAATAAACAATTATTTATACCCTACCCAACTGGCTGAGTTTCCCCAGCCACTCTGGGCGGCTTCCAACAAAGATTAAAAATACATTAAAATGTCACACATTAAAAACTTCCCTGAACAGGGCTGCCTTCAGATGTCTTCTAAATGTCAGGTAGTTGTTTATCTCTTTGACATCTGGTGGGAGGGCGTTCCACAGGGCAGGCGCCACCACCGAGAAGGCCCTCTGCCTGGTTCCCTATAGCTTTGCTTCTCGCAGTGAGGGAACTGCCAGAAGGCCCTCGGAGCTGGACCTCAGCGTCCGGGCTGAATGATGGAGGTGGAGACGCTCCTTCAGGTATACTGGGCCGAGGCTGTTTAGTTTACCGTAACTACACACTGCATGAAGAAGTACTTTCATTCTAAGCAGTAGTAGAGAAGAAACAGGAAGAGACATGGAGATTTGGAGGAGACCACTTGGCCGCATGGATTGCAAGCTTTCAGGGGACATAAAACAGGGCTGCCCAAACTCCCCATTGTTTTTAAAAATTGCCCCTACATTTTCAAGCATATAGCCACAAGCGTAACAACTCGAAACTTGATTCTGAGATCACTCCAGAGACTTTGCTTATTCTTCACCCTTGTGAAGAATGCTGCAGCTGTACAAGAAGTTTGGATCAAGCCCATACTTTTAATCAACCTGAGACAGCTGAGGAGGATGAGAATGATCCAACTTGGTATAACATAGCTTCCTACGATGGGGAAGGGCTGTAGCTCAGCGGCAGAGCAGAAGATCCCGGGCTCATTCGCCGGCACCTCCACCTATGGCTGGGGAAAGACTCCCCACTGCCAGAAAAAACGGAGAGCCAGTCAGTGTAGACAATGCTGAAGCTAGATGAAGCAATTTGGTCTGACTGCGGGTTAAGGCAGGCTATTCCCACTCGCTTTCGGAGATGCCAGCTCACCAAACTGGAAGTTGTACTGGGCCAGCTGGGCTTTTCGGATCTTGCGGTTGAGGGTCAAGCTTTGGTCGGCACTGATGTCTGCCATGAATCCTGCCTGGTGGAAGAGCTGGTGGACCTGAAACACAAGGGGGAGAGAGTGTGAGAGAGAGGTGTCAAATAGTTAACCCAGCTGCAGTCTGCATGGAAGGAGGCAGTGGGAGATGAGGAGGTACCGTATTCTTCCATGTATAGCACGGCCCCATGTATAAGACGATCGCAGCAAAAAATCCCAAAGTTGTTGAGCTTTTTTGGGGGGGATCACCACCGCCAATTGCTCTACCGCTCTGCAGCCTGACCGCAAATACAAATCGCACGCATCACTGTGGCGACCAATTGTCTGCCCACTTGCCGCCAAAAGCCCACCTGCCCGCTTGACGCAACCACAGCCGATTGCACACATGCCTCACCGCTGGCATAAATCACACACCCGATTGCCGCAGCCAATCGTCAGCAGGCCTTGCCACAGCAACCAATCACACGCCCAATCGGCGCTGCCAATCTCCTGCCCGCTGCTGCCACCAATTACCCAGACCCCCTCTGCTATCCGTGTCTAAGGCGACCTACAATTTTTGCCTATTATTTCTAAGGAAAAATTGCCGTCTTAGACACGGAAAAATACTGTATTTGCTGTCCGCCCCCTCCCAAGCAGGGGCCCTCATAGGAGGCTAACTCTGCCCATTCCTCACTTCCTTACTGGTAATCACACGCCCCAGTTCTATCCCTCCAGGGCAGCTACACTTTATAAAAATATATATATGTATATACTAAACATTCTGTGACAAAGCAATTCCAGGCCTTTCCATCTGCATGTCTTAACCCCTTTCACTGCATGAAACTTATTAACAGTATTTAACATTTGACTAGGGGACATAGGGCGGAAGGAGTGATTAAAAGGAGGCCAAGCAATTAAACAGAAGTCCTGCGCACGATAGATTGGGGGCGGGGGGGGGGGGCTTTCTTGACCTCTACAGCTTTTTCCACATTTCAGCAGAAGCTGCTACGGCACACTTTTCACACCATGAGGACTAGAGTATTTTTTTAAAAATGCACTGAAATGTTAATACACTGAAATTCCTAGAAAGCTGAATTGTGCACCTAATACTTCTCCCCTTCACTGTTTCCATAATAATAATAATAATAATAATAATTTTTATTTATACCCCGCCCTCCCCAGCCAAGGCCGGGCTCAGAGCGGCTTACAAGCAATAATAAAAACAAGTTAAATGATTACAACTTAAAAACAAAATTAAAAATACAACATTAAAATATTGAAACATTAAAATATTAAAATGTAGCCTCATCGCAGGAGGAGAAGGAAAAGAAAAAAGAAAGAGAGGGAGGGAATCAAATTGGCTCCAAGCCAAAGGCCAGGCGGAACAACTCTGTCTTACAGGCCCTGCGGAAAGAAATCAGATCCTGCAGGGCCCTGGTCTCATGAGGCAGAGCGTTCCACCAGACCGGAGCCAGAGTTGAAAAGGCCCTGGCTCTGGTTGAAGCCAATCTAATTTCCTTAGGGCCCGGGACCACTAGGGTGTTGCTATTTATGGACCTTGAGGCTCTCCATGGGGCATACCAGGAGAGGCGGTCCCGTAGGTACGAGGGTCCTAGGCCGTGAAGGGCTTTAAAGGTCAAAACCAGCACCTTAAATCTGACCCTGTACTCCACCGGGAGCCAGTGCAGCTTGAAAAGCACTGGGTGAATATGCTCCCATGGCAGAGACCCCGTGAGGAGCCTCATTGCAGCATTCTGCACCCGCTGGAGTTTCTGGGACAGCTTCAAGGGCAGCCCCACATAGAGTGAATTACAGTAGTCAAGCCTGGAGGTGACCGTCGCATGGATCACTGTGGCCAGGTCGGGGCGCGAAATCCTTACATGATTTCGCAGCGTATAATGCTCTGTGTATAACGAACAGGCAGATCCATGCTAGTTCTTCTTGTCTCTCACCTCGCAGGCATAGTCCTCCACGTCTGGGCCAACAGGGATCACCATAATTTGGAACGGGGACAGCCAGAAGGGCCTGCAACAAAGACAGAAAGCACAACGCCCTCAAGTCAGCCTAATTCTCCCTTTCCCTCCTGCAGCTCCCACTTCCTGGGTGATCTACTGATTTATTCACTTTTATGGCTGGCACTCAGCAGCTTTCGCAGCTCCGCAAAAACCCACGGTTCTAATTCCTTGACTGCTTTTGCCCCAGCATTGCAGCATTTTCTGTTCACGATAAACCTTGGAGAGCATATATAGCTGGCTCCACAGGGACAACGCCAGCTTAACACTTAAAAGTTGGACATTTCGATTGTTGATTTTTCTTTGACAGGTAGAAGCACAGCAGCAGGGAGTGATCCGGCCTATTTATAAGAATCTAAGAAGAACCGGGGGATGCGGGTGGTGCTGTGGGTTAAACCACAGAGCCTAGGACTTGCCGATCAGAAGGTCGGCGGTTCAAATCCCCGTGACGGGGTGAGCTCCCGTTGCTCGGTCCCTGCTCCTGCCAACCTAGCAGTTCGAAAGCACGTCAAAGTGCAAGTAGATAAATAGGTACCACTCTGGCGGGAAGGTAAACGGCGTTTCCATGCGCTGCTCTGGTTCGCCAGAAGTGGCTTAGTCATGCTGGCCACATGACCCCGAAGCTGTCTGCGGACAAACGCCGGCTCCCTTGGCCAATAAAGCAAGATGAGCGCCGCAACCTCAGAGTCGGTCACGACTGGACCTAATGGTCAGGGGACCTAAGAAGAACTGGATGGATCAGGCCAATGACCCACCTAGACCAGCATCCCGTTCTCCAGGTAGCCAACCAGATGCCCCAACAGGAAGCCTGCAAGCAAGATTTGAGCCAAGGGCAAACCCCCCCTCCTGTGGTTTCCAGTTTTCAAAATTATTACTGACTCCATCTGTGAAGACACAGCATTGCCATTATGGCTGGAAGCCATCGATAGCCCTCTTGCTTCCGTGAATTTGTCTACACCTCTTCTAAAGCCATCTAGGTTGGTGTCCTGCAGGAAGGAGTTCCATAGTTTAACTATTTGGTTCAGTAAGAAGGACTTTCTTTTGTGTCCTGAATCGTCCAGCTTCATTGCATGCCCACAGCTTCTAGCGTTACGTGAGATAAAACTTTTCCCTATCCAGTTTCCCCAGGCCATGCGTTCTTTTACGAACTTCATCTATACGTATTTGAACAAGAGGAAACGTTTTCAAACAATGGCAGCCTCCACTTGCCGTCGCTTTCACCACCTCATCCTGCAATATGGAAAAGACCCAGCAAGGAAGATTGGCGGCACAGCCCCTCCGGTCACTCACCACTTGCCGCCGTAGTTCTCCGCCAGGACAGCCAACATCCTCTCGACAGAGCCAAGGACCGCTCGGTGGATCATCACTGGCCTCTCCTCCAAACCACTGTCTTTGCTGTATGGGACATGAGCACACAGAATCAGCATCTAAACTCTCAGGGCTGTGTATGCTCCAAGTTCCTGAAATCCTTTTGGGTGAAGCTAACCTTCGTTTCTGCCCCAACACTGCAGCCTACGTTGAACGGCGGAAATTAAGAAGGTAAGAAGGGCCCTGCTGGATCAGGCCAATGGCCTATCTAGTCCGGCCTCCTGTTCTCACCATGGTCAGCCATCAGATGCCAGTGGGAATCTCCACAAACAGGACCTGAGCACAAGAGCTCTCTCTCCCCTGGGATTCGGAAGCACTGCTGCCTGCAGCTGTGGGCTGAGTGTGTTTGCGTAATCTAGGCCAGGGGTGCAAGCTTTGCTCAGGTGGGCCCCGTAGCTTCCCTGTGGATTTGTGGCGGAAGGCAGGAGATGGCACATTTTTAGGAATGCAGGAAGCTGCCACACCTTGAATCAGATCATTGGGGTCCGTCTAAACTGACTGGCAGCAGCCTTCCAGGATTTCAGGCAAGAGATGTTCCCATCCCTTCCTGCAAATGCCGCTTGGAACTGAACCTGGATGCAAAGCATGTGATCCTACCACTAAATAATGCTAGGTTTCCAGTCCTTGTGGTTCTGACTTAGGAAAGCTGCCTTATAGCCAAGTCAGATGCTTGGTCAGTATTTGTCCACATCGTCCGGCATCTACTCTTCAGGGTTTCAGGCAGGGGGTGTTCCCAGCCTTAACTGGAGAGGTCAGCGGTCAAACCTGGGACCTTTCACATGCAGATTCTAGCAGCTATTCCTGACTTCCTGCTGGGAAGGCAAACAAGGATCTCAACCCCTCCCCAAACCAAAGCAAACCACGTCAGGTCTGGAAAAAAAATTCATTTCGGGCTTTTTTGCTTTTGCCTGCTTGTGTTGTTACTCCTGTTTTGTGGTTTAAAATTAAGACAATTGCTTTTTTTAGATGATAGATAGATAGATAGATAGATGAGAGATAGAATACCAGTACTTTGAAGGGGCCCAGTCTCCCCACCTAGATATTCCTTATTTCTAAGAGGGATCTTTGCCAAGATGCACAGAAAAGCTTGCCCAACAACAAGGTTACAGTCAGACCTCTGGCAGGCAAAACACTTCCCCATTCTTCCAAGTCTGACACCTAGAGCTGGCACACAGCTGGTGCCACGCAGATTGCAGATTAGCTCCTGCAGCTGGTAAACCAGTCTCCAGAAAGCTACTAAACAAAGGCGCCTTCACATTCCTAGGCAGTTCCTCTTTCCCTGTCCTGTGGTCAGACAGGGGTTGGGTAGGGGAAGGACCAGTTGCGAAAGTCGGGTGTGAGGAAGCGAAGGGAGAGGGAGAGAGTGAGAAAAGGGAACCTTCCACTCAAAGAGACCCGAGGATGAGGCTCCTCTGACGGAATCGCCGTGGAGATTTTGCGTTGGCTCTCTCAGAAGTTACGCACTCATGTCTGAGCTTTTTGCTTGATGTTATAAACACTATGGCAATGTGCTGTGCTCAGTGTAGGGCTTTTTTTGGGGGGGGAGGGGAACAAAGGGTGCAAGCCCAGTGGTGGAGCATCTGCTTCGCACAAAACTCACTCCGTGTTTTGCTTGCACAATCTGGCAGGTCTGGAAAGAAACTCGGGTGCATCTGAGTCACTGAAGCCAAGAACTGAAAATGCAAGAGCCTGTAGCTCTGTGGCAGAAAGTGTGCAGAAGGTCCTTCGGGTCAATTCCCAATGGCATCTCCAGGGACGGTGGGCAAACACTCCTGTCTAGAGCAGGTGTGGGGAAAACTGTGGCTCACCAGGCATTGCTGAACTACAACTCCCATCATCAGCATCCCCAGCCTTGCTTGCTGGGGCTGCTGGGAGTTGAAGTTCAACAACATCTTACAGAACCACCACCCTACAGAACCACTGCCGATTAGTGCAGGGCCACAATGGAAACCTGGGCCTCTCCAGGTGTTATTGGGCCTCAGCACCCATTATTTTTTTGTTTTCGTTTTAACCATTTTAACCACAGTGGTACCTCTGGTTGCAAACAGGATCCATTCCGGAGGCCTGTTCGCAACATGAAAAGAGCGCAACCGGAAATGGCGCATCTGCACACGCGTGGGTTGCGATTCGCCGCTTCTGCGCATGTGCGTGACATCATTTTGCAGTTCTGCGCATGTGTGAGCGACGAAACCCAGAAGTAACCCTTTCTGGTACTTCTGGGTCGCCACAGGATGTAACCTGAAAGAACGTCTCATGAAGCGGACGTAACATCAGGAATGACTGTATTTATTTGTGTTTTTACCTTGTATTTTTACTCTGTGAACCGCCCTGAGATCTTGTGATGAATTGGTGGGATCTTAATAATGATAAGAATGATAAGAATTCTAACCGGTAGCAATGCTGGCAGATGGGGAGTTGAGTGTCCTTTCATGTTGTTGAAAACCAGCCCTTTTTCCAGAACCATGAGGACTGGGACCTTGCTTTATTTCTGAGGCAATAGCTATAGCTGAGCAGTTGAGCACCTGCTTTGCATGCAGAAGGTCCCAGGCAGGCAACTCCAGGTAGGGCTCTTCAAGGCCCCCGACAGAAAACTCTGCCTTGTCAGCCTAGACCAAGGATCGGGATACAGTGGTGCCTCGCAAGACGAAAATAATCCGTTCCGCGAGTCTCTTCGTCTAGCGGTTTTTTCGTCTTGCGAAGCAACCCCATTAGCGGCTTAGCGGATTAGCGCTATTAGCGGTTTAGCGGCTATTAAAGGCTTAGCGGCTTAGTGGCTAAAAGGCTATTAGCGGCTTAGCAGCTATTAGCGGCTAAGCGGATTAGAAAAAGGGGGGGGGGAGCGAAAAAAATCGCAAGACTCGCAAGACGTTTCCGTCTTGCGAAGCAAGCCCATAGGGAAAATCGTCTTGCGAGTTTCTCGTCTTGTGATGCATTCGTCTTGCGGGGCACCACTGTAAATCCCAGCCAGTCAGGGATAGTGGGAATTGTAGTCTGGACAGCTACAGGTGTGTTCAGGGAAACCAAGAGGAAGACCTGAAGTTGCCTCCTACCCAGTCAGACCATTGGCCCATCTACATCAGTAGTGTCTGAACTCACTGACAGCAGTTCTCCAGGATTTTGGGAAAGGAGACATGGTGATGCCATTGAACATAGGACCTTTTGCATGCAAAGCAGATCCTCTCCCGCTGAACAATGGCCTTCCCCTTAGACCATAAGAAGAAGAAGAGAAGAAGAGTTTGGATTTGATATCCTGCCTTTCACTCCCTTTAAGGAGTCTCAAAGCGGCTCACATTCTCCTTTCCCTTCCTCCCCCACAACAAACAGTGGGGCTGAGAGACTTCACAGAAGTGTGAATAGCCCAAGGTCACCCAGCAGCTGCATGTGGAGGAGCGGAGACGCGAACCCGGTTCCCCAGATTACGAGACTACCGCTCTTAACCACTACACCACACTGGCTCTCTCATAATGGCCTGACATGGCAGGAGACAGCTTCCTCAGTTTCCAAAACGCTTTCCTTTCAATTAATCCCCCGCATGAAAATTCGAAGGCAACCTGGGAATTTTAGGGGGAACGGTAGGAGCAGAGCGGCAAGAATGTGAAGCCCCCTGGCTATCTACCTGGAGCAGAGCTCACCTTGCGTATGAGAGATCAAACCGGATGGGCATCTGGAAATCTAGCTGAATGGTGGCACATTGGTGGTGCCGGCCGAGGGCATCTTTAATCTGAATATCAACCTGGGGGGAAATGCACACAGAGAGAATGCTGTGAGGAACAGGACCCATTACGTGCCTCAGCTAGCTTTGACCTGCAAGTGCCGTTGGGCGATGTTCAACGAGGATCAGAAAAATCCACAGAGGATCAGGCTGTCAGTGGCTGCCAACCCTGATGGGCATGTTCTGCCTTGACCGCCAGAGGCAGGCAGCTTTTGAATGTCAGTCGCTGGGACTCAGAAGTGAGAGGAGTGGGCTTTGTTCTCACTGTGAACACAAGCACATAAGAAGAGCTTTCTGGATCAGGCCAAAGGGGGCCTATTTGGTCCAGAACCCTGTTCTCACAGTCGCCAACTAGATGCCCCAATGAGAACCCGCAAGCAGGATTCAGACACAAGAACATTCTTCCCTCCTGGAGTCTCCAGAGACTGGTATTTAGAACCACTGCTGCCTCTATGACTGTGGAAGCAGAGCGGAGCCACCAGGACTAGCAGCTGTAATAAACGAAAATCTGCCCCTATTCCCTTATGGGGAACACAAAAGCCCTTACAGAGTCCTTTGTAGGTTCTCCGTCGGTCAGAGAAAATAACAGAGGCCAGCCAGAGAATACTGAGAAGCAAAGCAGCTCGTAAGCCTGATCTTTATTGAACTGTTGCAACAGGGTGTTCCCCTCACACGCAGGAGAAGGAGGAGGACCCCGAACAAAGGTGTGCCCGCCCTTATATAGACATTTTAAATTGCCCGCCCTGGAGTCCAAGACCACCCCCAGACACATCATACCTACATCACAGAAGGGGCGGTCTACAACAGAAATCTGAGTGCTTTGTTTATCTCCTGTCGTTTATCTCCTGTCTGGCAGGTTACCTGTTAATGCTTACTTGATTGGATACCCTGGGGAGCCTGGCCAGTCTTTTGTAGCGACAAATACAGTGGTGCCCCACAAGACGAATGCCTCGCAAGACGAAAAACTCGCTAGACGAAAGGGTTTTCCGTTTTTTGAGTCGTTCCGCAAGACGAATTTCCCTATGGGCTTGCTTCACAAGACGAAACGTCTTGCGAGTTCTTGCGAGTTTGTTTCCTTTTTCTTAAAGCCGCTAAGCCGTTAAAAGCCGCTAATAGCCGCTAATAACCGTGCTTCGCAAGATGAAAAAACCGCAAGACGAAGAGACTCGCGGAACGGATTAATTTCGTCTTGCGAGGCACCACTGTACTTAGTTCCGGAGCCCACCTTATTCACGGGCTCACCTTATTCATACACAGATATACAGTGGTGCCTCGCAAGACGAAATTAATCCGTTCCGCGAGTCTCTTCATCTTGCGGTTTTTTCGTCTTGCGAAGCACGGCTATTAGCGGCTTAGCGGCTATTAACGGCTTAGCGGCTTTAAGAAAAAGGAAACAAACCCGCAAGAAGTTTCGTCTTGCGAAGCAAGCCCATAGGGAAATTCGTCTTGCGGAACGACTCAAAAAACGGAAAACCCTTTCGTCTAGCGAGTTTTTCGTCTTGCGAGGCATTCGTCTTGCGGGGCACCACTGTACCCTTAAGACAGGTTTTGTGAATGAAAAGACAATGGGGAGGCTTTTCCATTTTCCTTTGACCTTGCAGATTAAACATTTGGTCAGTTTGGGAGCCAAAATGGCTCCAGGGCTGCCCTCCTGTGCTGCCTCAGACATGTGGCCACTTACATTTATGTACGTGTTTGCCCGGCACATCCATGGACATTTATTATATATGTAAGACCTTAATTTTTTTATTTCACAGCCATCCATGAATTTGTCCTGTCCTATTTTAAAGCCCTCCAAGTTTGTGGCAATCACTGCCTCCTGTGGGAGAGAGTTCCATAGTTTTAACTCTGCACTGCACAGAGAAGGACTTTATTCAAACAGCTCTGAATTTCACAACATTCAGCTTGGCTGGATGCCCACAAGCTCTAGAGTTAGGGGGAACCAGAGCCTAGGTGGGTCCCCATTGGCCGCATCCAGCTACCGGGCTCTTCCTACAGTTCAGGATTTCTGGCAGGCGGGGCCACTCACTGACCTTTGGCCCGTAGAAGGCGCCATCCCCAGGACTGAGCTCCCAAGGCTGTCCAAAGTCCCGGAGGCTTTTTTCCAGCAGCTGGAAGGTGAGAGAAAAAGGAGGAGTCAGGAAACTGAGCTTGCTTTCCACTTGGCAAGCGCCCGCCATCTGGGTGGTCAGGTCACGGGAGCTTCTTTGAGTAGAAAAAGGACCTCAGGGCATGTTTGCCTAGCAAACAGGACGGAACAAAGGATATATATATATTTTAAATAATAATATTTACTAGTTTTCCAGCAAATTAAACACAACACTACAAAAAACCAAAAAAGGAAAAAACATACAATAATAATAATAACAAAAAAGGGAAAAAAATTACAAAACACTAACCTACAACTAACAAAACAAAACAAAAACCATTTAAAACACAGTCCAATTTCAATATTTTATCCTCCTTTCACTAATTTCCACGACCTCCTCACACCTCCCTTTTTGTATTCCACTTCTATTCAGCAATTCCTTTCCATCTTCCTCTATTTTCTATCCTATAATTGTCTTAACACATTCTAACCTTATCTTTCCCTTTAATGCTCTAATGATCTATTTAAACTTAATTCCTTATAACATTTCTACTAAAGCCATATAACTTCATTCCAACATTTTTCTAACATTCATTAATTTTACAATATTTCTGTAAATAGTCTTTAAACTTTTTCCAGTCTTCTTCCACCGTCTCTTCTCCCTGGTCTCGGATTCTGCCAGTCAGGAACAAAGGATATTTTTTAAGGGGGGGGGGAGCGTTTTGAGAACACACACAAAGCTAATCCTTCCCATCACTGCGAGGGATAAAACCCGCACGAATATGGATTGAAACATAACATTGAAAGCTATTTAAGTGCTTCTCAGGTTGATCAATTTGCAGGCAGGGAAAAAAATGTGGCTCTCCTAGGCAATGGCAGGGGGTCTCATTCTTACCTCCTCGGCCCGATCCCAAAGGTGAGGCTCCCCAAGGAATTTCTCGGGGCGGGTGGAGAGGTAGAAGCGCAAAGTGAATCCGAAAACAGAGTAGACAGCTTGAAGGAAGTCTAGGCAGCCTTGAACTTCTCCTTCCAGCTGAATTTGAGGGGTGGGGGAAAAGAGAAGAGAAGAGGTGTTAATATCCTGTCCCTTCCTGGTTTGTCCCCTTTAAAAGATGTTCCAGTTTTTGCCCATTTGGTATCTGAACACTTTTACGTTTTATTTTTTTACATTTTCTTTTTATTGATACTCATCAAAAGGTATACGAAAGTTTGTACCCAACACAAATTCTATTTTTATAATATACGAGAATAAAAGAAATGTTTTAAAAATCAAACCAGAAAGGAAACAGGAGCAAAGAGGAGGAAGGTAGAAGAAATAAAAGGAAAGAGAGAGAGAAAGAAACAAATGAAGTCTCAGAGCGCTGTTTCAACAGAGACAGGTGGAGCCTTTGGGTTCAGCCATGCAGGTACAGTGGTACCTCTGGTTAAGTACTTAATTTGTTCCGGAGGTCCGTTCTGAACCTGAAGCACCACTTTAGCTAATGGGGCCTCCTGCTGCTTCCACGCCACCAAAGCACAATTTCTGTTCTCATCCTAAAGCAAAGTTCTTAACCCAAGGTACTATTTCTGGGTTAGCAGAGTCTGTAACCTGAAGTGTATGTAACCTGAAGCGTATGTAACCCGAGGTACCACTGTACCTTGCCATCGCCCCATCCCTCACCTGATCCATGGCACAGAAGATGTGAGCGTCATCCTGCTGGAACCGGCGCACCCGCGTCAGCCCAGTCAGGGCTCCCGACGGCTCGTTTCTGTGCAGAACCCCAAAGTCAGCAAGGCGGAGAGGCAGCTCCCTCCAGGATCGGGGGCGGTGGCCAAACATGAGGCTACGTGGAGGAAAGGGAGAGGAACTTGCTTCTACCTCTCAAGGCACATCAACGGAGCTGTAGGGGCAAGCGGGATATACCCCCGCAGGCCTCCATTCCAGCGCCCCCCAATAATTCATAACTCACCAATGGCCAGGGCAGTTCATTGGCTTGAGGGCAAAGGTCTCCTCTTCGACCCTGAAGGAGAACATGTTCTCGGCATAGTGCTGCCAGTGGCCAGATGCCTCCCACAGCTTCGCTTTGTAAATGTTGGGGGTGATCACCTCAGAGAAGCCGCGCTTGAGATACTCACTCTGGGACACCAAAAAACAAAAGGGAGGGGGATACCAGGAGTTGGGGGCAGAGAATTAAGTAAGAGATGGAGCATGAGTCCCAGACTAGCTAAAAGATATTTAAAATTAGTTTTCTTCACACACCAGCTCATTAAAAATAATAAACGTTTGTTTGTTTTTTTAATTCCTGACTTTATAAAGGTAAAGGGACCCCTGACCATTAGGTCCAGTTGTGGCTAATTCTGGGGTTGCGGCGCTCATCTCGCTTTACTGGCCAAGGGAGCTGGTGTACAGCTTCTGGGTCATGTGGCCAGCATGACTGAGCCGCTTCTGGTGAACCGGAGCAGCACACGGAAACACCGTTTACCTTCCCACCACAGTGGTACCTATTTATCTACTTGCACTTTGATGTGCTTTCGAACTGCTAGGAGCAGGGACTGAGCAACGGGAGCTCACCCCGCCAACCTTCTGATTGGCAAGTCCTAGGCTCTGTGGTTTAACCCACAGCGCCACCCGCGTCCCTCCTGACTTTATAACTCGCTCCAATAGGCTATGTGGTTCATCTTTTAACAAAGTCTGCATAGGAAATCAGGTCGTTTGCTTGCATCTCTTTGCTCACATATAATGGGCTGATGTGGCAAGAGTGGCAGAAACTGTCTTTTTCAAACTGACCATCCTATTCTCCTGTCCAGGACACAGATTTTCTCCAATTCTTACCATACAAAATCCTGACTGCGCTGTACAGGGAAACATCTTCGCATTGTATATATCAATAATGAACACTGGGTTTAAAGTCAGCTTGAATTGTCATTCTATGGACTGTTTCTGATACTTAGCCAGGGAAGGATGAACTTAGATCGTCCGCCTCAAACAGTGTGTGGCATCAGAGACCAGCTCTGACCTTTGGACATAAGTCACGCACAGGCAAACACTCCGATCTGGAACATTTGAGAAGCGATGGATTAGGAAGCTGAGCCCACCTTAATGAAGTCCATGAGAGTTGTGTAAATGTGCGCTCCTTTCGGGAGGAAGAAGCAGCTTCCTGGGCTCAGTTCATGGAAGAAGAAAAGCTCTTGATCCTGCAGAGGAACAAAGTCAGTCTGTGCGGCGTAATTAGAACGGGGGAATAGGATCCGAGAGACCAGGGTTCAAATCTGCACAAGGAGACCTTGGGCCCAGTCACTGTCTCTATGGCAGGCATAGGCAAACTCGGCCCTCCAGATGGTTTTTTGGGACTACAACTCCCATCATCCCTAGCTAACAGGACCAGTGGTCAGGGATGATGGGAATGGTAGTCCCAAAACATCTGGAGGGCCGTGTTTGCCTATGGCTTGCAGGAGTGCTGAGAGGATAAAAAATGGGGGAGAACCACGTACAACCACCTTGAGCTACTCAGCAGGAAGGCGGGATGTCAGTGCATCAATGTATATATTTTACAGGTGCTTGTTCGTAAAAGTATGTGCCCCCCTTGGCTAAAAAAACCCTCCCCCGCCCTTAGGGCATGGGGAGAGAGGGAGGGAAGCATTTCCTCCCAGAGGTTATACCAGACCCAATGGGTCTTAATTCCACCTTGCCTATCCGCCGATGATCCCGCTGGGCAGCCTCCTCTTGAGCACGTTCCCATTCCGCGAGCTGCTTGGGGCTGGGGAAGGAGATGCCGTAGACCCGCTGCAGGGACTCCTTCGAAGGGTCTCCGTGCCAGTAGGAGGCGGCGTTCTGCCAAGCCAAGAGGAATGACAAAAAAATAAAATAAGCATGCAATATTGCCTGGTCCAGAAAGAAGGGTTTCTGAACGTATGACGCTTCAGGACAGGGGGAAAGAAAGCAGTGAAACTATGGAGATGGCTTCCGGGGGAGGCAGCGATGGCGGCCAACTTAAGATGGCTTCCAAAGAGGATTTGAGGCAAATTCATGGATGGCTATGCTCTGCCTCCACTGCTAGAGGCTTCTGAATACCAGTTGGTGGGAATTGTGAGTGGGGAAAGTGGTTCTTGTGTTCAAACCCTGCTTGCTGGTATCCCTTGAGGGCATCTGTCTTGCCCCTGTGGGAACAGGATGCTGGACTAGGTGGGCCCTTGGCTTGATTCAGCAGCCTCTGCTTAAGCTATTACATTAGCGCGACTTTGGCATTTCTACCACTTGGGATGATATTATTATTATTATTATTATTATTACAGTCATACCTCATGTTACGTTTGCTTCATGTTATGTTCTTTCAGGTTACGTCCTGCGGCGACCCGGAAGTACCGGGTTTCGCCGCTCGCACATGCGCAGAAGCGCAAAAATGATGTCATGCGCATGCGCAGAAGCGGCGGATCGCAACCCGCGCATGCGCAGACGCGCTGCTGCAGGTTGCGCTCTTTTCATGATGCGAATGGGCCTCCGGAATGGATCTTGTTCGCAACCAGAGGTACCACTGTATTATTATTATTATTATTATTATTATTATTATTATTATTATTATTATTGCTATTTAGACTTAATGGCCACTTGCTACCTAACAAGCCTCCAAGTGACTTAAAAACATAAATACAAAGGGGGGGGGAATTATATGAAACATTAAAATGTTCACACAACAGCTATGCTTCATTAATATGCTTATCTTTATTTTATTGATTCGCAGCATTCGCACCAGGCTCTTCAGCCAAAAAACCCCAAAAGGCTCCCCACTCTACTCCCGGATGCAAGGACCTGGGACGTTAGCACCCACCTTCAGGAGCTTCAGTGCACGGATCTCCCCCGTATGCCGGACGTGCGGCCCCCGGCAGAGGTCGATGAAGGGTCCGCACCTGCAGACAGGAAAGAGGAGAGACGGTGAGTATCGGCCCTTGATTATTCCTGATGCTTTGACTCCTTAGGTGGCATACTTATGCTCCAATTGGAGAACAGCCTTTAACAAACCTGTTATGGATTTTGAAGACGCTCTAACTCAGGACGAAAGGGAGAAATGTGCTAAGAGGAAGGCACTCTTGGCAAACCCTCACCGTGATCAACTCTTGCCTGGAAAACAATGTCCCCACTGTGGAAGGACGTGTGGATCCAGAATTGGCCTCCACAGTCACCTACGGACACACCGCTAAGACCGTGTTCATGGAAGGCAATCATACTTGGCTACGAGGGATCACCAAAGAAGACGACTTATGAAATTGCTTATATTCTGTGCAAGAATAATAATAATTTATTATTACAGTCAAAGACGAGTTCATATATTTTGTGTATTTTAATTTGCTTTAAGATGCCTTGAGGCTTTTGTTTTTCAAAATATAAATATCTCTTTAAGAAATATAACTAAACAAAACTAAATTAGAATAACAGGAGCATTGACGCTGTGGTGATCGCAACAGGTCTGTTAAAGGGCTAGGTGGCAATATTGCTTACACCGATGCCCCTAAAGGGTTTTGTTACAATAGGAGGAGCCCATTGGGGAATTTAGTTGATCACTGTGAGGACAAGATGCTGAGCTATTGACTTGATCCAGCCCTAAGGCTCTTCTTAGGTTCTTACAACATATAAGACATAAGAGATGGGATGGAAATAAACTGACCTGCTCATCTCCACCGACAGGAATAAGCTCAGATTTGCACTAAAGATCAGGAGGCACTCCTGTTTTCTCAAAAGGCGGGTAAGGTAAAGGTAAAGGACCCCTGGACAGTTAAATCCAGTCAAATGAGACTATGGGGTTGTGGCGCTCATCTCCCTTTCAGGCTGAGGAAGCCTGTGTTTGTCTGCAGACAGCTTTCCGGGTCGTGTGGCCAGCAGGACTAAACTGCTTTTGGCGCAACGGAACACCGTGATGGAAACCAGAGTGCACGGAAATGCCATTTACCTTCCCGCTGGAGCGGTACCTATTTATCTACTTGCACCGGTGTGCTTTCGAACTGCTAGGTTGTCAGGAGCTGGGACAGAGCAGTGGGAGCTCCCTCCGTCGCGGGGATTCGAACCACCCACCTTCTCATTGGCAAGCCCAAGCGGTTCAGTGGTTTAGACCACAGTGCCACCCGCGTCTCAAAAGGAGGCAACAACTGCAGGTCAGCCGTGGATGTCCAGAGTTGAGGGTTTCTCTCACCTGTACACGGTGGCAGTCGGAGATTTCACCTTTTCGTCGATAATCTGAAGTTTGAACTTGTTGTGCTGGAAGGGCAAAGAAAGAGCCAACAATCGTCAAGGAAGTTTTGCGATAGTTCGCTGTGAGAAACAGGGTGCTGGACTAGGTGGGCCACTGGCCTGATCCTGCCAGCTCCTCTGGTGTTCTATCCATCCCGCAACCGCATCACCCAAAATCCCACTTCCCTGAACACTTTCCAAAAGAAGAACATTAGTCTGAATGCTCAACCCAAAGCTGCTGGCATGTAGCTCAGTGGCAGAGCACCTGGCCTGCATGCAGAAGTCTCCCAGTTCAATCCCCAGCATCTCCAGGTAAGGCTGGGAATATCCCCTGCCTGAAACTCCTGGAAGAACCTCTGTTGGATCATCAGTCTGACTCATTAAATGGCAGCTTCCTCTAGTCCTATTTAAACTAGCCTATTAATCAGAACCATGAGAACTGATGTCTTTGTCTATGGAGTTTTCTTGGCAGGGATACTGCAGTGGCTTGCCACTTCCTGCTCCAGGTGGATGACATTTGGTCAAAACTCTCCACTATGACCTGTCCCTCTTGGGTGCCCTGCTTGGCATAGTTCATAGCTTATCTGAGTTATTCAAGCCCCTTCGCCACGGCAAGGCAGTGATCCATGAAGCTGAGGCTCCAATACTTTGGCCACCTCATGAGAAGAGAAGACTCCCTGGAAAAGACCCTGATGTTGGGAAAGATGGAGGGCACAAGGAGAAGGGGATGGCAGAGGACGAGATGGTGGGACAGTGTTCTCGAAGCTACCAGCATGAGTTTGACCAAGCTGCGGGAGGCAGTGGAAGACAGGAGGGCCTGGCGTGCTCTGGTCCATGGGGTCACGAAGAGTCGCATACAACTAAACGACTAAACAACAATGAGAACTGAAATCTTACTAGCTGTTTGAAACAACCCACACTACTAAAAAGCCATTATTAGTTCCAAAACAGTGAGAGAGAAAACAATATTCAAAACACACCTCATCATTTCAATAAGAAGTGGGTCGAAAGAACAAGCCTGCTTAAAAGCAAAACATGGGAGGGAGCAACACCTCTCCTTTGGGAGGAAGCCTCAGAAATGTGAGGCCATCACTGAAAAGGCCCTGTTCCTTGCATTCAACAGCCTAGTTGGACCTTAACTGCAGATACTTAGACCTGGGCTGGTTCATTGAAAATACATAGGTGAAGGCTGCCCTTCAAGGCTCTCTCTCTACTGTTGCATGAATGGTATCCTGCCATTAGACCTGGAGGCTGTGGGTTGTATTCTCTCTCTGCTAGTGCAAGGGCAATTCAGCACAACAAGCTGTGCCAGTGCAAACTCGTTGCGCAACAGATTACACAATCTATCGGTCAACACAAGTGACCAGCAACCTACTTACATGTTCTCTTGTGCAAAACACGTCACGTATACGGCTAAGTGACTTTAACTTAGCACTGCATTGGATACGACCCCTCTAATCCTGACAAGCACGGAAAACTTTGCAAATGCAACACTCTGGATAAACCAGTCAAATGGAGCTGTGTATTTCGAAGGCTATGTCTGACTGTGAGTTTGCACCTATGTTCCCATATCCAAGAGGGATATGCAAGAGGAACCCTGCACTCTTTCTAAAAATCGGCCACCAAGCCCAGCCATTCCCCATGCCTTCTGGTGCCTTCCAGATCTTTTGGACTACAGCTCTCCCCAATGACATACTAGCACAGCAGTGTTGGCTAAGGATGATGGGAGCTGAAGTCCAAAATATCTGTAGGGTATGAGCCCAGGGAAGGCTGAACTAGGCCATCGTTCTGTTTCCCCACAAAAGCCCAAACAAATTATCCTGGGAGGCCCCAAAAGAGAGGGTGGAAGGCAGATGTTTATGTCTCCAACAACTGGGATAGACAGCCTCTGAACATGGAGGTTCAGTTGACTAATAGCCACTGACAGGCAGCTCTTCAGAAACTGGTTTAATGCCCTCTTAAAAGCCTCTGGTTCATTGGCGCGTCCTGTGGCAGCAGATGCCACAAACGGCAGTCAACTTCCAGGAATAGTAGACAACTTTGCACCCGTTTCAGAAACCAGGCCATCAAAACAAAAACAGAAGGAAAAGCTCGAAGAACCTGTTGCCAGCCATTTTAGTAATTTTCACAGCCACAACGTTTTCAGGAGTGGAAATTCCAGTAGGGTAGGAAAGCAAAGGGAAGAATGCCCCACAGCACCTTGAAACTAAGGTGTGGAACATCTGTGGCAGCCCAGATGTTGCTGCAAGATTCCACCCTAGTCAGTGGTCAAGGATGACAAGAAGAGTTCCCATCCATGAACACCAGGGGGCACCAGATCTCAAACTGGAAATGGACTAGCAATACAATAACTTCTGGACAACCATGGCCTCAGCTCAGGGGACAAATATGTCACATTTTACCTAAGCATTCAACTATTTTTCTTCTTGTCCTTCTTGTGCTCCTAACATAGTGCTTGCCCAGAAGATGTTGCCTTCCTCAACACTCTTGCCATCCTCACTCATCTTGGTTTCAGGCGCAAAATCCAGTTATGTCACTGGCAAGGCAGAGGCCCCGGCACTTAACTAAATAATTCTAAGCTTCTTTTTATTCCGTCTTTCTACGAAATGACGGAGGGCGCTTCTGACATGCTTTGGAGTTTGCACCTTAAAGAGCTCCACCAGATCCTCTCGAGAGACTTCCAGCCGTTCAAAGGGATGGTTCTTGGCGATTATCCCCTTGCAGATTTCCTCCAGGACTGGCAGGTCTTTACTGGACACAGTCCTGTGAAGAAGAAAAAAATGAAAAGCTCTTTACAGGAAACATGGAGACATCAACAGATAATGTCAAGCAATTATAGGCAGCCCAGGCAGACCCAAAATGACAAAGAGGCTCATAAAAGTCCTGATCTTCAAAGTTTTGATACCTAACCAACAGACAGAAAGATAAACCCTTGATTTGGAGCAGCCAGTTCTGTGGACCAGACAGCCTTTGTCCCTGCATATGTTGTGAACTGCTCCTAATCAAGTTTATTTACTTCCCTGCTTGTTTGATCTTAGAAACTTTGGAGATTAAGGCTTTGTTATCCTGTTTGCCGTTTTCAGCAACCCTTCAACCAGCAACCCTTGCAAGTCTTCTGCCTAAGTCAAACTTTATGACGATTCGGAGATTAAATCATCAGGAGGATTTGGAAAGAAGTTTCAAGACTAGCAAAATTTCTCAGTACAGAAAAGTCATGGCTTGACTAGTGGCGACACCTAGTGGACAGTAGAGGTGCAACATGCACACCCACAGGATTGAGGAAGTCCTACAGGCCAATTCATTCGTGCAAGGCAAAAAGTGTGTGCGTGCGCATGCACACAGACCACTTTCAGAAGGAGATTCTTTTCACATTCAATATCTCATGCACCATATGCCTATCCTGCCTCTTTTTTTTTTCAACAACAAAATCTCAAAAGCAATGAACACATCAAGAGGAACATGTGAAGCTGCCATATACCGAATAAGATCATTAGGGTGCATCTAGCACAGGGGTCAGCAAACATTTTCAGCAGGGGGCCAGTCCACTGTCCCTCAGACCTTGTGGGGAAGGCGGACTATATTTTGAAGAAAAAAATGAATGATTTTTGCCTGAAAAGAGGCCTGAAGATGCTTCGCTTTACTAGTCCCAGCTATCGTCCCAATAGCCGCAGTTGGACTTCTCCAGCCAGCCAGAAGTCATGGCGGGGTAGGAGGCTGAGTCGGCCGGCGAAGACAGAAACAGCAGCCCCAGAGGAGGAGCCGCGGGCAGAGGTAGGGGAACTGGGGCGTCGCCAGAGCTTTTACCCACTACCTGCTGCTGCTGCTTCCTGAGTGGCGCCGCAGAGAAGAAGACAGAGCCGCCCTTTAACCTACAAGCAGTGGCTGCGGCCACCGCAACGAACCGCCTGAATACCATGGGAGGAATGAAGGAGGGAGGGAGGCGGCAATGAAGAAAGCGTGCGAGGAAGCGGCATGGAAAAGGGGCGCAGAGAAGGAAGGGCTGAGGGAGAGGGAGAAGAAGCAGGAGGAAAACACAGCAGCCACTGGTGTCGCAGGCCCCCTTCACAGCACCGCCCTGCTGAGACGGGCAAGCCAACTCCCGCCATCGACGGGGCCTGGCGTGGGACAAGATTGCTCCATCTCTAAAAGCGCCGCCCTGTGAGGGAGAGGGAAAGAACGTGTGTGCTGGCGATCCACACGGCGATTCCTGGACTGTCCGCAGACCAGATCTAGAAGGCAATTGGGCCTGATCCGGCCCGTGGGCCTTAGTTTGCCGACCCATGATCTAGCACAATGCTGTTGACAGTGACTGGCAGCAATGTGTCTCCGGTGCTTCATTGCAAAACAACATCAAACCTAGCATTACGTAAAATACATTGAACAAACACACAAAACATAACCGGCTGTGCATTCACATAAACAATTCTCTCCTGTATTTTTATACTTCTCTTGCACATTATCAACACATGAAGTACAACAGTGTAAGCAGACGTCCCAATAGATCAGTTCATTCACAGAGTCCAAATATCTGCTAGTTTCTGTTCCACGTATGTCTTTGTATGTTCATAAAATCCAAATGGGAGCTTACTATAGTTCCAGAGAATCTTTACAAGGATTTCCGGAATAATGCCTTGTTTCGCCCTCCTGGGCTTTATCAGTTGTATGTGTTCATATGTTTATATCAAGATAATGGAACTTATGAGATAGTGGTTTTGTGTTGATAATGCGCAAGAGAAGTATTTGATACCGTGATAAAAATACAGAAGAGAATTGTTTATGTGAATGCACAGCCGGTTACGTTTTGTGTGTTTGTTCTCCGGTGCTTCAGACAGGGAGTCCTTCCCAGCTCAATCAGAGACAGAACCCGGAGCCTTCTGCATGCACCCTGGGTAATCTCCCACTGAGCTACAGCCCTGGCTCTAAGCAATAAAATTAAGATTCCAGTCCTCATGTTTCTGAATAAAGGGATGATTTAAATGGGGACCCAGGAAGGTGGCTTATACCAAGCCAGGCCATTGTTGCATCTAGCTCTGGGTTAGGCTGACTTTTCCCTATTTTCTCCAAGGAGCGTACTCCGTTCCCTTGCACCCCAGGTCAGCCCTTTGGCGGGAGAAATCATTTTCTTATTTTATATATTCGCTTCCTTCCACCCCACCCCCCAAAGGGAAGCAGGTGGGATGCAACGAAACACCGCAACCACAAAACACACACAATTTAGAAAAGGATAGATGTCCACTTGCAACCTTTTCTTATAATAGGGTTATAATAACTGACTTGGAGCAGTTCCCCGGGGGTTTCAGGCAGGGGAGACGCCACTAGGGATTGGACCTGGGGCATTCCGCATGCAAGGCAGGAGCTCAGCCACTGAGCTACAGCTGTTCTCTAAAAATAAATCAAAGTCTGCAGCCGTTATGGTTCTGAAAGCAAGGCTTAATTTAATTAGGAACAGAAGGAACTGCCTTATACCACATCAGACCCTTGATCCATTATTGTCTACAGCAGGCACCCCCAAACTCAGCCCTCCAGCTGTTTTGGGACTACAATTCCCATCATCCCTGACCACTGGTCCTGTTAGCTAGGGGTGATGGGAGTTGTAGTCCCAAAACAGCTGGAGGGCCAAGTTTGGGGATGGATGGTCTACAGCGACTGGCAGTGTCTCTCCAGGGTTTCAGGCACAGGAAATTCCCTGCCCCAGCTGGAGAAACCACTCCGGCCATTCTGCATGCCAAGCAAGGGTTCTACTACTGAGCCATGTGTCCCTTTCACTTGAGAGAGCGAAGGCAGGGCCTCTCCAGTGGCTCAGCCGAGAGACCAGGGACTTTAACTTCTCTTTACATTCCAGCCAGTTGTTACAAGAACTCCGTAACCTGAAGAACTACAGACTGCATCTGCTGTTTTCCTCTCCATCCCCTTTCCCTTTTCTGCCGCAGCTTTTCAACAACACTTCCCACCATCGCCCTTCCAACTTACCTCTCCTCATCCAAATACATGTCGTAGAAGAAGCCATTTTCCGTGCTGGGTCCGTGACACAGGTAGGCACCGTAGAACTGCTCAGCGGCACCTCCTAGAACGTGGGCACTGGAGTGCCAGAAAAGCTGGTAAAAGAGAAATTAGGGGAGAGGTCTAGTTAGGTACGCTGGAACTCCAGGCTCCTTCCCAAGGCAGCAGCACTGCCCCCCTCCCCATTTGCAGAGGCAACCTGAGGACAATGGTCAAAACAAACCAAGGGAGAATATTATTATAAGAACATCAAAAGAGGCTGGCTGCTAGATCAGGCCGTTAAGAAATGTTGTCTGTCTGCAGGCATGGACTTGGTCGAAAGCATGTGATGCAGCTTGGAAAAACTATCTGCTTGAAAAGTGCTACTAGACCAGGGGTCTGCAACCTTTAAGACAAGAAGAGCCACTTGGACCTGTTTCCAAAGGGGGAAAAAACTGGGAGCCGCAAAACCATTGCGACATTTAAAACAAATATATCTCCGGAGCTGCGATCTGACAGCGGGTGGGAAGGTGACGGCGTGTCGGTGCGTGACTAACGCACGCACCGCCCCCATGCAACGTCACAGCCAGTACAGCGCCCGCCACAGTGGGGAGCGTCGGGGCGCACAATGCACCTCCTCCCCTCGCTAGTATCCGCCCCGGAGCCGCGGCAAAGGTGTAAAAGAGCCACATGCGGCTCCGGAGCCGCGGGTTGCAGACCCCTGTACTAGACAATCTACAAGCCTGAAAAGGAATCCGCAATTTAGGCAAATAAGCTCTGTCTGGTGCTAAAGGACAGAAAATGGAAGAACAGGCTGGGGTGCTCTTTTGTCAGACAGCTTTTAAATTAAACAAAATAGCGTTTTTCTTAAAGCTTCAAAAGTGAAACTGTTACGGAATTCTAATTCTAAAATGTCTGCTCAATAAGCAAGTCCTTGCTTGGGGAGGGGTGGGGGAAGGTGGCCAACCTAGCCCAGGATCCTGTCCTCGCGGAGCCAACCAGATACCCCAATGGGAAGCTTGCAAGGAGGACCTGAATGCAATAACAACCCTCTCACCACTTGTGAGTCTCAGCAACTGGTATTGTTCAGAGGCATTTACTGTCTCTGACGGTAGAGGAAGAACAGTCCTAGACGCTGCTAGTCACTGACAGTCTCCTCTGCCTCCTCCCTGAATCAGCCTGACTCTCTTTTAAATCTAAGTTGTTGGCCGTCATTATGTCTCATGGGAACGAATCCCAGAGTTTATCTGTGCTCTCTGTCAGGAAGTCCTTCCTCTTCTGGACTCACAGCTGTCCATGGAGGCTAGCTCCATCTGGTACGCAAGCTGAGACCCTACCTGCCCGCAGACTGTCTCGCCAGAGTGGTGCATGCTCTAGTTATCTCTCACTTGGACTACTGCAATGCGCTCTACATGGGAATACCTTTGAAGGTGACCCAGAAACGACAACTAATCCAGAATGCGGCAGCTAGAATGGTGACTGGGAGTGGCCACCAAGACCATATAACACCAGTTCTGAAAGACCAACATTGGCTCCCAGTATGTTTCTGAGCACAATTCAAAGTGTTGATGCTGACCTTTAAAGCTCTAAATGGCCTCGGGCCTGTATACCTGAAGGAGCGTCTCCACCCCCATCGTTCTGCCCGGACACTGAGGTCCAGCACCGAGGGCCTTCTGGTGGTTCCCTCACCGTGAGAAGCCAAGTTACAGGGAACCAGGCAGAGGGCCTTCTCGGTGGTGGCACCCGCCCTGTGGAACGCCCTCCCACCAGATGTCAAAGAGAGCAACAACTACCAGACTTTTATAATACATCTGAAGGCAGCCCTGTTCAGGGAAGCTTTTAATGTTTAATAGGTTATTGTATTTTAGTGTTCTGTTGGAAGCCGCCCAGAGTGGCTGGGGAAACCCAGCCAGATGGGCGGGGTATAAAAAATAAATAATAATAATAATTGTTGTTTTTGTTGTTGTTGTTGTTATCATCTTCTCTGTCCCAAATCTTCCAGCCACCATGCAAGGAGCTAGGAAGAAGTCCAATATAATTCCAAAAGGATGACACCGCAGGAGCCTGAGGAAGGAGGGCTGGAGGTTGAGGTCTTTCTGCCTTCGTCTACAGAGCAACGTCACCAGACTGGACTTTCCTGGCAAGAATGACCACACCACCCTGACGGAGAACGCTGCACACCCGGACATTCCTCCTGGAAGCATCCTCTCCTGCAACACTGGCAACGAGACACAGCTTGGGTCCAAGCTGCCAGGCAGTCTGCCTCTACAAGCCCCTGAAGCTAAGGTTTGATGCAGGCAACCAGCCCCATTTAGCTGATAGCTGTTCACACGCCTATTACCCACCAACAAGCTCCTTTTAAAAGCTGCTCTTCCTGTAGCGCAGGGTCTGAGGAACCCATTTCTTGGCTAGGGAGGGCAGCTCTTTCTCTTCTCCCCCCCCCGCGCCCCCCACAAATAAATGCTGACAGGTGGGCAGGGCCACCCAGCTGCTAAAGTTAACCAATAGCGGTGGGAGGAGAGAGGTCTGTTTCACCAGCGCCTTCATCGTAGGAAAGGGTTCTCTGCTTCTCTTTTGGGGTGGGGTAGATATTTTTATTTATTTTCAAAAACAGTATTAATATAAATTTACGGAATTGATATGAACACTCTGCTTATCAGCTGATGAGCAGAGGGTTCAATCCTGCTGCTTGGGCCACAGGCCAATTCCCTGTGGAGGAGCTGGTGGGCCCAGCCAATGAGGAATCAGGGTGTCTGGCAGTGCTGAACCTTGATTTCAGCCCCCAGAAGTTCTGGTATCTGGAAGGGGAGTGAGGCCCTTTTCAGTGCTTGCTTGCTAAACTCCAGTCGAGATTTAGCAGCTTCCTTCCCTCTCTTCCGAACAAGCGAAACTCCTCTGGGTACTCACCGCCTGCCCATCCTGAGATTCGAAATCCACAAACTCCAAGCTGGTGTCGCCCTCCAGCGGGCGATCCAGGTCATGTAGGCTCCCATTCACCCGTGCCACCACGGCACCCTGGGCCAGACTCCGGCTGCAAGAGCAGTAATAATAATAACAATAATAATTTATTATTTATACCCCGCCCATCTGGCTGGGTCCCCCCAGCCACTCTGGGCGGCTTCCAACAAAACACTAAAACACAATAGCCTGTTGTTGTTTAGTCGTTTAGTCGTGTCCGACTCTTCGTGACCCCATGGACCAGAGCACGCCAGGCACTCCTGTCTTCCACTGCCTCCCGCAGTTTGGTCAAACTCATGCTGGTAACCTCAAAAACACTATCCAACCATCTCGTCCTCTGTCGCCCCCTTCTCCTTGTGCCCTCCATCTTTCCCAGCATCAGTGTCTTCTCCAGGAAGTCTTCTCTTCTCATGAGGTGGCCAAAGTACTGGAGCCTCAGCTTCACGATCTGTCCTTCCAGTGAGCACTCAGGGCTGATTTCCTTAAGAATGGATGCGTTTGATCTTCTTGCAGTCCATGGGACTCTCAAGAGTCTCCTCCAACACCAGAATTCAAAAGCATCAATTCTTCGGCGATCAGCCTTCTTTATGGTCCTATTCTTTATGGTCCAATAGCCTATTAAACATTAAAAGCTTCCCTAAACAGGGCTGCCTTTAGGTGTCTTCTAAAGTGGGAGGTTAGGACACATCTGACTGGCAACTGCCTCGCAACCACGAGGAGAAACGGACCAGATATTTATTTTTATTTATTTTAGGTACTTCTGTGCTGCTTGATATTAAGAATCTCTAAGCGGTGCAGAAACATATTATTATTTTTAAGGTGTGAAGATTGTCTCCAAAAGGCAGAAGCTGGAAGCTGCCTTGTAGCGAGTCAGACTATCTGTCCACCTAGTTCAGTACTGCTCACACTGACTGGCAGAGGTTCTCTAGAATCCCACAGAGGGGCTCTTTTCCCAGCCCGGCCTGGATATGCCACTGGGGATAGAAACTGGACCTGTCTGCTTGCAAAGCAGATGCTCTCTCCCTGAGCTACGGCAGTTCCAGTGAATCACAAGGTTTCAGATTCTGAGTTAAAGAAGAGCTTGCTAAGAAGGCCAAAGGTGCTGAACTTCCAGATACTGCTGAACTACAACTCCCATCAACTCAGGGGCATCTCAAAAAACTTCCAATATTACTCATCTCCTAGGGATATGTTTTTACAAGTGAAGGACAGGATCTCAAATTTTTGAGTCGCACATCTCTGTTCATATCTCAAGAGCTGCCAACCCTTTGCCCCAAACAGTTTGCTTTAAAAAAAAAAAGTGTTCAAGAGGAAGCACATTTGAAGAAAGCACATAGCGAACATCTAACACACGCACCTGATCTGCAGCGCCACTTGATACGGTGTGGTCATCCAGGCCTCCCCGTTTATTTCACTGCCGCCTGGTAGGGAAATACGGATCGGCCGGCTGTTTTTGTGGCTTCGCTCGGCGCATCGTTCAGCCGCAGCAGCTTTTAGCTTCTCATAAAATGCCAGGCGCTCAGAGATGTGGGAAGGAAGGGCACCTGCCTATAGGAGAAGACATACGACAGTGTCAATCACCATGAATTCCGTCCTTACCTTAGGGAAACGGCCACTTTCAAAATGCAGAATGACTGACAAGACCCCCGTTAAAACAGAAGATGGCCAGCAAATCTAGCAATGTTAATATTTGTTACAGGACTGGGGGGAAAACCAATCTAGGTACTACAGCCAACATAGTTCTGTTGAGGGGAAAATGAAGAAGAGTTACATGGTTTGCAGGGAAATGGTACCGTTTGCCGAGAACGATGGAAAGGGGTAAGCAACTGCCTTGGAGCAGTTTTCTCCCCAAAACTGGTAGCAGATAAACCTGGAGGCAGCAGGCTCCCTTTTATACCAGTTAGGAGTGTCAGTGTGACAAACTGCCAACCCAAAGAGAAACTGATATACAGACCCCTGCCCTGTCTCTCCAAGAACAGGTTTCACGTGGCGCACCCAGAACGGCAATTCAGCGCTCAGTCAGACACTTGAGGGCAAACATCAGATGCTCCCAAGATAGAGGAAAAATAAACAGCACCTACTGACGGGAGCTTGTCTCCAAAGGATGCACAACTTGTACAGAGATGCCACAGGAGTGCATTTGGCACCTAGTCGTTTCATTTAGCAAGCCCCAGTTGGGTGTGTTGCAAATACGGGATCACCATCATAAAGCAATAACCTCTAAGGTCTGGGGTGGGGAGACTGGATGATGAGCTCCAAAGGTTCTCAAGGGAAGAAAGTACTGTTTTATCTGGAGCGATGCTGGACACCAGGGATTGCCCGGCAACCATGCTTCTTCATTCCCAGCGGTGTGGGGGAAATTCCACACTTGCACTCTGTGCATGTTCAGAGATGCTCCATTATGTTGTATCGCTTTGCAACGTGTTTTCTCTAAGCAGCACTGTCCTGAAAGCAACGTTAAGGAACGGCCAAGTTCAGGCCAGACGGTCTCGCCTTGGTCATTCACATAAATCTGAAAGTGCCGGTGCTTTGAAGGACGTGCTACAACAGGCAAAAATCTGGCTCTACTCCTGGGGCGGATGGAAGGCCTCACCCGTTGAAAGCCTGCCTGCTGGACAGAAAAACAACAGCAGCAGCAGCACCACAGGAGCTTTCAAGACGAGAGGCTGCAGCTTTAGAAATTATGGGGCAGCGAGAAAAGTAGGACTAGAGACTGGGGAAAGGAGGGATTCGAAAAATAAATGCATTTAAATTAGAAGACTATCAACAGACCCTGTACAGCCTGCAGAGATGGCTCTTCCCAGCCCAGATCTTCCTCCAAGGCCAAAGGACCTTCATCTTTTAGAAGACCCGTGTCAAGTCCTCAGTTCCCACGTGGGAAACTGCCGGGGTCCCTCAGGCCACTTGCAGCCTCTGCAAAAGCCGCTCCAGCATCCCTCTCCACCTTGCAAACTGCAAACCGGGAGCAGCAGCAGCAGCCGCCTGCGTGGGACTCTGCGCGCGCCGATTGGCCGCCTCTGCAAAGAGGAAGAGAACGCGGATTGGTAGTCTAGCTGGCCAATAGGCTTCCTCCCCCTGGAAGGAGTTTCCTTCCCCCTCCCCTCCTGAAACAAGGACTCGAGGATGTGAAGTTCCGCCCACCTTTCCTCCCCCGCCCGGATCAACGCGACAAGCAAGGCGGGGAAATGAAATGCTGCAGCCACCGATTCTCCTGCGAATTAAGGAGGGCTTCTTGGATCGCAGGCTGGCACGCGAGGTTGCCAGCTGACCAGAAACTGATATTGCAAGCCTTTGTGTAGGGTGCAAAGGGGGAAAGGCTCCCCTCACTGCATGGCAGGCGAGAAGCACGCTTTAACCGTGCTGAGCGAGGTCTGTCAAGCCGCACAGCTGCAGCGGCCAGTTGGGAAGTTGGCAACCCAGTAGGCACGGCAGGGAACGCTTAGGGCAAAACACAGCCTAGCTGCAAAGGAATTTTGTGGCCATACACTGAAGAGAACTGCATGTTGCAATTAAAACCAAAGCATAGCCAATTTCTGCGTAACAGGCATAAAGCAGGCAGCTTTCAGCCTGATAGGTAGAGTTCTGGAAAAGATGTATTGGTTGGATTTCCACGTCCCCTACAGTACTCAAAGGTCTTTTAAAAATGCCTTTATTTATTTAAAACATATGTGGCATAATCAGTGTTCTAAATAAAGTAATTTTTTCCTATGTCTCATTTAAGTACTGTAGGAGGTGGAAATTCAACAGGTGCAGCTTCTAACACTGCCTAGCCATCATAGGGAAAGGGGCAAGCTTTGAATTGTGCCCAACTGAATTCTACTCAGAGTAGACACATTGAAAACAATGGACCTAAATCATGTCCATTTGTTTCAGTGGGTTTACTCAAGAGTATGACTAACACTACATACGAACCCTTTGCCGTTAGGCTGCCAATTCAAGGGCCCAGGGGTTCCTGTCAGGAAAAAGGTCATGACCCCATACCCCCCTAGCAGCTCCGTAAAATCCTATAAACCAGATTATCAGTCTGCACACACAAAAGGCAGAAAAGGCTTATTTAAGCATTAAAATCACATGTTAGAAAGCAAACATCCAAATATGAATTGGATCCCAATGTCTTTTCAATGAGCAATTCATAGAATGGGCAGGATCTGGCCAAGGACACCCTCTTAAAACTCCACTAATTTTTTCCCAGTAGGAGAGTTAAGTGCATATCATGGAATCCCTTCTACTGGAATCAAGGTGGTATAAAAGTGCCAGGGCTGGCCCAAGACATTTTGGCACCCAAGACAAACCACAAGATGGTGTTCCTCTCCTACCTGAAATGTAAAGTTCTACATTGCAATCTGCTGCCCCTGTGAATCCAGCCACCTGCAGTGGTCGCCTCATCTTCCCTTGAGGGTGAGCTGGCCCTGCCAAGTGCTCATGAGAGCCAGACAGCTCCCAATATATTTTGCCCACCCCACCCCACCACCTGAAATTGATGTCAAAACCCTAACCCTCCCCTTTCCCTCCTAACACAGAAAAGGACCGTATTTCACCCTCTGGGTTTTTCCTATTTTTAATCGGCAAATCCAAGACGCTCATACCAGATTAATTTTTTTCCTATGAGTGATGGCAGAGTGGGCTCTTTACTCTGAAGTTGCTACTGGTGTCTGTTCTATCCGAAGAATGCCTTATTATTATTCACACGCACAACTGAAAAACCCAAACTGTGTCCTACCTTTTAAGACTTGTTCCATGGATTACTGCCTTGCTCACACACACACAAAAAACCTCTCAAGCACGGCCTAGCTTTTAAGGCTTATTCTGAGGATGATGGAAATGTTTGTGAATTACAAACAACTTGGTCCTACCTACATTTCTTTGCATGTCCCAATTTGGCTTACTCTTAGTTGCATGTGCATAGGACTGTAGTTGCATGGATTGGGCCCCAAATGTACCGTAAATACAGATAAGCTCAGCAGAACTCACTCCTAACTCTGGAGGTAAAATAACTACTTAAGTAAACAGCATGCTAGGAAAAGATAACCAGGTTGTTACCTTGGCAAAATAATCAGATGTGCAGAGATGATAAATTTAAAAACCAAAACCCAAAAACAAGGCACAGGCACAGAAGAAATAAATTGCAACCCAGTCTTGTAGGAAGCCTTTAAAAGGAGTTGATTCATATTTACAAAGAACAAGAATTTCGGAGGTCTAATCTGAGAGTGCCCACATGAGCTATATGCCCAGGCTCATGTGGTGCCCTTTCAAGGAAATTTTTATGAGGCTGGTGCCCAATTCAGGTGGGAGAGGAGTGGGCAGTCTCACCCCGCCCCCTGGCAACACACATGTATATCATGTATACCACAGGTGCTGGATTTGCATGATCTATGCCTCTTCAAAAAGAGAAGGCAATTTGTACACATCGACATAGCTGTCAAAGTTTCCCTTTTTTTAAAAGGGAAATTCCTTTATTCTGCATAGGATTCTTTGCAAGAAAAGGGAAAAGTTGACAGCTATGCACATCGAGTATTGGTAAAATTGGGCCCCCAAATCATCTGCGATGTTGGCATGATTTGACAGACCACTGTGAGGTTTGATGCCCCAGCTCAGGTCTGACCGGTGCATGGAACAGGGACTGGTTCTCTATAGGGACACTAAGCACACCTGTTAAAAGAGAGAAGTCCAGAGTTTCTAGGCAAGGGTGCTGTAGGTATCAGAACATAAGGAAGGAAGAAGAGCCTACTGGATCAGGCCAATAGGCCATTGAGTCCGGCATCCTGTTCTTACAGTGGCCAAGATGCCCTTAATGGGAACCTCGCAAGCAGGATCTCAACACAAGAGCCTTCTGCCTGCTCTTGTGGTTTCCAGCAACTGGGATTCAGACCCATTGCTGCCTCCAACTGTGAGGGGCAGAGCATAGCCATCACGGCTAGCAGCCATCAGAAGTCCTCTCACCCATTGATTTATCTAATCCTCTTTTAAAACCATCTAGGTTGGTGACCCATCACTGCTTCCTCTGGGAGCAAGTTCCATAGTTTCACTAAACACTGCATGGAGAAGTTCCTTTTCTCTGCCCTGAACCTTCCAATATTCAGCTTTGCTGCATATCCAGGACCCAGACGTGTGCTCCTACGGCAAAGACGCTCAGCACACGAACACAGGTCACGCTTGCACTCCATGCTCCCAGCAACATCACTCTCACAAGCACAACTCAAGCCTGATTCCACTCAGCTAATGTTTCCACCACACCAACAGATTTGGCTATTTCAGCATCAGGTGAAGCTTTTGTCTGTGCAACTTTATTCTTAGATCTTCCTGTCCAAGCCTTTTTGGCACAGATGCCGCCTTTGGTTTCCTCTTACTCCCCAGGGACTTCATGGGACCAGGCCTTCTATCGCCCTAGGATTCAGAGCACCTCACGTCAATGGCTTCAGTAGAAACAACTCAGCCAATAGCAGCAAGACGCACTTGTGTGACAGGGAGCAAGCAAGCCAATTGGAGCCATAGGTTTGTGCTGCCATTGCACAACACCTGCCTCCCAGGGGGATTTTTTCGTCACATGCTGCAAATACATGCTATAATCTTCTCTGCCCTCAGGGCTTTCCCTGTGAACAAAGATGTTCTTAGAATCATAGAAATGAAGAGCTGCAAGAGACCCAGAGGATCATCTAGCTTTCAAAATATTCACCCTGCAAAGTTGCTCTAGCTGGTTGGTTTAAAAAGCGCCCCCGTCTTTTCAGCCAAATTATGAACCATTGGATGCTTCTGGCCATCAGGTCACCCCACAAGAACAAGAGTCAATTCAGGCAAAGGAACAGAAGCCAGTCATTCAACGGGCCTGAAGACCACACAGAGATGCTGCTCCTTTCCCCTTCTGCTTGTGGGAACCACCAGTGCCTCAAGGCCTCCGATGCGCACGGTCCTCTGTTTAAAGCTTCCCCAATCTGGTGCTCTAAAGCTGTTTTTGGACTTCAGCGCTTCATCAGCCATGCGTCGCCACTTTAGGCGAAAACAGCGCTGCTACTTGCGCTTGAACTTAGCGATACCGCTGACAGCAGCACCACTTAAAAGCAGGAACCTTAAAACCCAAGGTTCCACGGCTTCTTCAGCTCCCTGTCAGCCTTTCGGAGGAAATCTTAAGAGTAGACTGCTGAATCTTGTGCTTGACTAGTCCTATGCACATCTTCTCAGAAGCCATTAAGTTCAAGGCGGTTCACCCCCAGGTAAGTGTGCAGTGGGTTACAGATCTGGTGAATGTTAACCCTGTTCATGGCTCTTTTGGATAAGATTTCTTTGGGACACAAGAAGCTGCCTTATACAGTCAGGCCACTGGTTCGCATAACCCAGATCTGCCTACACTGACTGGCAGCAGCTCCTGGGTGTTTTAAAGCAAGGGGATTCCCAAGCTTTACTTGGAGGTCCAGGAATGAACCAGGGACCTTCCACACACAAAGGGAGTCCTCTCCCAGTGACGCAGCCCTTAGGAAGAAAAATAAAAAGGAATGCTGCTTTAAGCTGTAAAAAAGCAGATTTTAAATACTGGATTGGTTGACAACTAATGTAGACAGGTGGCACAGTTCCTAGAGCGAAGAGATTACAATTACACCAGGGCAAGAACCTGGCCAACCTTACTAGTTATAGGCAAGTTTGGAAAGCTTTGTGATGGCTCTGTGGTTGGAAACCCAAAGGTGCTTTCCTTGGTATGGAGATGCAAGCAGGGCCCCCACCTGCCATCCTCTTGAGATCAGCTAGGCTAGACATCTCCCTCTGCATGTTTAAGGAACCAGGCCTGAGACCAGAGAAGTCATACTGTACTTGGCAAGCAGAAAGGCCCCAGATAACTCTTGTGTGAGAGCATTCTAGGGTCACTGAGATGGACCGAAGTGCTCAACCCTTGGGAGCAGGGAGCCAGTCCAGTGACGAAACTCCGCCTCACCCGTTTCAAGACTAATATACTTTCCCTTCACATAATCATCTTTTTCCAGTGGGGATTTGTGGCCCTCTGCGGGTCTGCTGTTGTCCTTGTTAGTTGCCAGCCCTCCACACAAACTTCTAAGCCGGATTTCTATGCAGCCTTCCGATTTCACGGGCACAAACAATACAGATGGGTGTTCCCCCCCATTCAATTGGGGGTGCTATCAGGCACACCCTAGTTATGCCTGCCCCAAGAGTTGGCACGGTTATACATAACTTAGGTACGGACTTGCGGAAGATCCCATAAAAACAAGACCAGCAGGATGAGCATGCAACAGGGTGTAGAGCCAGTGGGTTTCCACCCTGCAAAGCTCAGCCCCCCCCCCCCATGAAAACACTTCCTAGATGAAGCCACTGACAAAAGGGTGACTCCTGGCTGCAGAAATACTGTTCAGTCAACAAAAAACCCAAGCAAAACCAGTTACTAGAGGCTGCTTAGCTGTCCCCCACCCCCAGAAAAAGTTTTGCAATGGTAGTCTCCTCCACGATGATGGACATTTCTGTATTCTTCCCTTGGATGCATATGGCCTGATAGTATTTTGACCACCACCAATCACAAGAGTGGGTGCACAGGTGGGAAAGCTTTGCACCCTGAAATTAGTATTCTCCAATTTAAAAAACCCCAGCCTGTCACTGCTCAACTGGTTGACTGACCGCCTGCTGCCCCCACACTACTCCGGCGAGAAAGGTGAGGGGCTTAATGTTTGAGCTGCCGCTTGAATGCCACCACAGCAGACTTGAGCAACGAGGACCCTGATCCCGTAAGGCCACAGTCCTCTGCAAACCAGCGCAAGACGGGAGGTTCGCTTCCTAAGAAGCAGCGTTTGGATGGGTGTTTAGGAGCGCGTCTAGCAGTAGCTGGCACTGCACAAACCAGTTTAAGCAAGTCTACCGAGACAGAGAACAAACAGCGGGCTTTTAAAGGTTTTGGCTTTGCCAGGGTGGTGGCATGAGCTAAACACCCCCCTCCAAAAAACCCACACAATTTACCAATTGTGATGCTTTTAATGAATCATGGAGGATAAAGCGATCCATGGCTACTAGCTCCGATTTGCCTCAACTACCTCCCTACATGTGGGCTTCCTAGAATAGGCATCCGCTTGGCTGCTATGAGACCAGGATTTTGGACCACATGGGTTCCCTTTGGGCAGACCCAGCACCCAACAATTCTTAACTCTTGTTTCAGGCCTTTAAAAAACTTTACATGTGCTGTGGCAGTAGCGAAGTACCTGCTCAGAATGACTTTATCCGGTAGATGAAATGGGAAGCGCTGTTAAAACCTCCCCCTCCAACACACACACACACACAATAGGCACACAGTTCCCTTGGAAGGGACCTCAAGAGTTATCTAGTTCAACCCCCTGAAATACAGGAATCACAGCTAGAGAGTCCCCAACGTATCAGTAAAGCAGTGGTGCACTGAGCTGCTGCTGCTGCTGCCTTAGATTGCGAGTGCAAGCAGGCGCACGCAAACACTTTTTCTAAAGGCCACCTTCTCCTTTGTACCACAAGTAGTGAAAATAAAACTCTCCTGCCATTAGGCTAGGGGGGTCATATCGTAAGGCAGCAGTGTCTTTTAAGCTCAACTGGAGGCACGCAGATCCCTTCCCATGCCGTAAGTACATTCCTTTATGAAAATATAGTCAAGTTTGTGCTGCAGCCCAGGTCGGGAGCCAGAAGTGCCAGACCTTGCTGTGTTTTAGAAGGCTTGTTTGTTCCAGCAAGACTGCGCCTTCTGAAGACGGTAAATGTGGGTTCTCGTGCCCTCTACCCCAAACAGATGTTTAAAGTTATTTTAAGAACTACCCGTCTACCCAATACTTAGCCTCAAAACAGTGATTATTATTATTATTATTTTAAAAAGGGCTTTTAACATTTTATAACCAAGAGGGAAAACGGGGTAGGGGTTGGACACAGAGGCAAAATGAGCTTTGCCCAACAATGGAAACAAAGATTTGACAAAAAAAAAAACACCCATTCGATTTCTTTCAGAATTATCTGCAGGTCAGGAACGGTCAAGATGCACAATCCCCATTCCCCCCCCCCAAAAATAAAATAAAATGTATCACAAGCTGCCTTGGAGCCCAATCCACAGGGCAGAGAGCTGGGTCCCTTTTCTCCTAGAAATGGAGGCCACAACAAGTCAAGAACACTTTATTAGTATACAATACAAAAATAAGGAAGGAGGGAGAGAGGGGGAAGAGAGAGAGAGAGAACCTCAAAAAGCAAAACAAAAAAACCGCACTGCTCCGATTGTGTTTTAAGCTTTGGAATTGGTTTCCAGACCTCCTTCCAACACAGAGACAAGATGCATAAATTCAAAGAGCAACAGTCAAGACTTCCTCCAACGGGGAGCGCTGTGGGTCTTTCGGAAATCGGAGGCGGCTCTTCCATCTGCTCTGCTCTTCCCCCTCCAGGCTGGGTTGGTGCCGAAGAAACCACTTCCGGCTCCGATTCCAGGTTGCAAAGCAAGGAAGGGATGGATGGGTGGGGGTCCCGTTCTCAACCTTATGCACCTATTGCACACTTAAGAGAGCACTTATTTACAAGAAGTGTAGAGATATATATATATGTATATGTATATATAAAACATTCAAACTAGGGTATCTTATTAAATTGTGTTAATATACAATCAAGAAGATGGTCTGCAGTTGCTTGCTCTTCAGCCCAATGCACATCTCGGCCCCCCTCGTTCCCCCTGCAACTCCCCCACAAGAAAACACTTGAAAATAAAACCAAGCCAACAAATATTAAACTCTTCCCGCCCCTCCTCTTAAAACAGGCACACACAAAGAAAATGAAAAACACATCGATTATGTACAGTGTTGTTTCCCCCCCCCTTCCAAAATGGCAGCACAGCCGCACACTTCCGGGGGAGAATGGGGTGTATCCCCAAAACATCTGCTCCCTTAATATGGGAAGCAGGTTCCCTCGCGTTCCCCCAACCCTGAAAGCTACCCCCTGCAAACATGCCAAGTGCCCCACCACCACCCCAGAATGAAATACGCTATTTCCCCTGTGCTATGCAAGTAAGTTTGCCTCGGAAGGTCTAAGGGGAACTGCGCCGGAGGAATAATGGACACCAAGAAATCTGGGGAGGGTGCTGCTCCCACCCCAATGACCCTATAAAAATCTGCCATGAAAGTTACTTTTTTGTCATCAATGAGAAGTGGGTTCCATAAACGGGATACTTTCAACCCCCGCCAGACACCCCCCTTTCCAAAACTGCTGGAAAGTAAGGGGGGGGAGGAGACTTCTGTGCCTCCCTTCCTCTCCTAGGAAATTCTGCCCTTCATGAGAGAGACTAAGGTTTTCCTTAAAAAATACATGTTTATTTCTTATTTCCATTTTGTTTCTCTCCTTGTTAGGTGAAATACAAAAGTAACAGCAAAGGGAAAGGGTGTGTGAAGAAACCAGAGACAGGGAAATCCTTCCTGTCCAACAACCTAACCTTTTTTGTTTTTGTTTTTTACACACACATATGTACATTGCTAACTGTGAACATCTTAAAGTAAAAGCACAAAATCATTCTCATATATATATATATATGAGAGAGAGAGAATTGGGGGAGAAGAGGGAAAGACATGGAACTCTTACCATTAAAATATTTTTGTCTTTCTTACAGGTTCCCTTTTCCTGCAAGAAGCCCTCCCCCCACCACAATGGCACCCCCCAATTCTTAGCATTCTGTGGCAATCTGAGTAGCGGTTAACTCTGAGGGTGCTTTTCATCGCCCACGGGTTAATTTTCTTTTTTAAAAAGGATCCATGGAATCGCCACAGAGAGAAAGAGAGCAGCAGAAATAAGAAGTTTCACATTCTAGTCTCCTAGGAAGGAAAAACAAAGAAAACTGCGCCACAGCCGCCGCCAAACCACCTTTGCTCGTTTTCAATATTGGTTTTGAGTCCCTCTGCAAATTGTGAAGCCTGTCTGAAGAAACCGTGGGAAAATCTAAGAAGCCGACTCGGGGAACGCTTCACGAGAAAGCTCTGCTGAGCAGGCCACATCAGAACGAACTGGTCTGACGCGGGAGAAAGCTGCGATGGATTTCGGCCCCATGGGTTTATATACAGCATAATGCAAGTAAGTGATGTTTCTTAGGGGGGAGGAGTAGACCCACAAAACCTCCCTAATGTCTAAAGATGAAACACTTTATTCTAGAGTGGCAGCAGAAGTCATGCAGTTAAGAGAGAGATTAGCTGTACAGATTAGCCACAGACTGTTGTTAGCTCCCTCGTGTCACAAGGTGGGGAGGAGAGATATGTTTTTTTTCTGAACGACAGGTGCAATTGGAGCTTCACAATAGTGAGGTTAAGCTGGTTTATCAGATGGGCAGCCCCTCCCTGCAAGCACTTTTGGGAATTTCAGTTCTGGGGCGGGGTGTTAAGGTTCCTGTGCTCACATGCCAGTAGCAACCAGGGATCTCTGAGAGGGGTCCTGCCGGGTGCACAATCAGCTTGCGAGAGGATTTAAACTCGACTTTCCTGCTTCCTGGTAAGAGATGAGCTCAAGAACTGCTAGTCACAGACCCCTAATATGGATAGTGACATTCTCTTCTGCTTGGGGGTGGGGATCAGAACAACAGGATCTGAATGAACTTGAGTTTACCCTTTTGAGGTTTGCCATTCGCTAAAATTAATTTTTCAGGGGGGAAAACCCCTGGGAGTAGACATCACCCAGATTGGGTGGATCAATGAGGACTGTAGGGAAAACTACCCCCCCCTTTTTTTAGAGCCTTGGCATTTTAAAAATGTCAGGTTTTAATAAAACCAAACTCTTCATAACCCCTGGACCTTCAAGATCTACCTGATGTATAAAAACTGTTCATGCTATGTACTTTTTTTAAAAAAAGGAAAACTGTGCACATATGAGCTGTGGAATATTTTTTCAAATGCACAGAATAGCAGATTATTCCTAACAAGTATTTTTTTTTAAAAATGCAACTTTCCTTTTGCCTTAAAGGAAACGTGGCTATTAAGTGAATCCCAGTTTTTACAGAAAAGTCGTCTATGCCCACAGCTGCGTTGAGAGAAAAATAAGGAGGCAAATGGGCAGGTAACAGGTGGGAGGGGAGACAGTAGAGAAGAGAATCGGGGTGGAGTTCATCTGGGAACTTGAGAACAGCTCCGCTCTCAAGGAGGGATTTTGGGGGAGGGAAAGTGGAAAAAGACTCGAGCCGAAGGAAGCAGGAGTCGCCTGGCATCAGCTACAGCAATTCTCCGTGGAACCCAATTGAAGGGCGCTGAAATTCACTAGGCCAATGTGTCTGCTGAGGCACAGATGCCCTGTACAAAATGCTACGCATTAACTGTAGACACCAAGCCGTTTTCACTGACTGATGGCACCTCCTTGCCCATTCCTCTCCTTAAAGAGCGCAAAGCTCGCTATCTGAGCAAACTAAGTTCAGAAAAAGCAGGAGAGCTTGGCAACTCTCAGCAGAGTCCTGGCCAAATCCTGCCCTCTTATAATATGGGGGTGAGGGAGGGATTGAAGAGCAGCAGCCTTTGGCAATGCATAGCTGGCTTCAAGAGGAAGGTGACCAGGGGGAGAGCTTGGGCCATACCTGCTCCCCCCCCCCTCAAAATGACTCCAGCAGTCTCAGCCAGCTATAAGCACCAGGAGAGAATTTGCCCATTACCCACCCTGTGTATAACCTGTCTCCAGATAACAATCTCTTTAAAGCCCTTGAGGCCCCAGGCAAAGTGGAGTTATTCCATCCCTTGGCCAATCTGAGAAATGTATGAGAACTTTAAGAACCTAAAGGACTGCAAGGAAGCAAGAAAAAGGGGTTAATAGGTGCACAGAAATAGCAAATCCTTCCCTTTCCCCTACAGTTGACGCAAGCAAATGTGCCCATGAAGAATCAGCCCAGGCCATTGAAGGGTGCGGGGAGAGTAATTCTGACAAAAAAAAAAAGGAAAAGAGGCACAAGAAGAGTTAAAAGCAACAGCATGAAAGGCAAGCTTTGACTTCTTGGACCTTTTCTCTTCCTAAATTGTGTTAGGATCTTTTCTCCTAACTCTGACTTCAATGCTAGGGGAGTCCCAATTTGCTATGCATTGGCTCAATATATATATATATATATTAAAAATATAACCCTATGTTTCATGAACTGAAAAGTCTTTATTTCTACGTTCACTTTATGGTTAGGTTTTTAATTATTCTGCAAAAAAGGAAAGCCAAAACCAAAACTCACTCTCTAAATTTAGGCCGTCAACTAAAAAGCCCCTCCAAACAAGCAAAGAGAATGAAAATCGGGGGGTGGGGAGAGGGGGAGAATGCAATAAATGCACTGAAGTACAGAACATACCTTAATTGACAACGAAAAAAGTTGTGGGGCCCTTTAAGGGGCAGATTGGTTTGCTGTTCTTGTTTTTAAAGAAAAGACTTTAAGCATAAAACGAAAGTGAACGTGTCACTTCCGCCGCTCTCTAGAAAAGTTCTGGAACACCTTCATTCAGTACCTGGGAGGGAAGAAGGGACGTTTTGGTGCGAAGAAGGGGGGCCCCTGGCGAAGGGGGGCCGAGGCCTTTTTAAGCTGTTAAAGGGGTCTCTGTTTAAGAACAATTCCCTGGGTCGGAAATCCGGCCTCTGGCTTCTCATCCCCAGCCCGCCTCGGTTTGTGGCGTCCCGGTGAGGGGGGACAGAGGAGCTGATGTTAAGGGCCGCGCCCAGAGGATCTCTTGGGAGCGTGCCCAGCCCCAGGTTCTCTCTCGCCCGGCCGCCGTGGTCGCGCTGCCCCTGGCCCAGCTGGTCCCGAGATGCTCCCGACGGCATGCTAAAATGCTCCTTCATTGTCCCCTGGTGCACGGCCAAAGGGCTCTGGCGCTCGGCGGCTAGTGGGGGAGCCGGGAACGGGAGTCCGAGGTCCCCCGGAGGGGGCGGCGGGCTGGAGAACGGGACGCTGCCGTGCTCCCCGGGGAGAGGAGGGGGCGGCTGGGTGGGGAACGGCACCCCGCTGCGTTCCAAGGAGGGAGGCGGGGGCGGGGGGACGCCGTGGGGCAGGCTGAGCGGGGAGGCAGCTTCCTTTGAGAAAGGGCCGGTGTGATCCACAGACGGCATCCGGGGCGGGGGGACTGAGTGGTCCCGAGAGAAAAGGCTGCCGAGATCCTTCGGAGGCAGGGACTGAGGCCCTGTGGGGGGAGGCGGCCCGATTTGGTCCATGGGGAAAGACGCCCCGTGCTCAAGGGGAGGGGGCGGCACGTGGCGGTCGAAGGCAGCAGCGGCAAAGCCGCCAGGTCGGAAGTTGTTGACGTTCTCCTGGAACGGCGGCCCACGGTCTTTGTACTGGGTCGGGAAGCCGGACACGCCGCTGCTGCCGCCACCACCGCTGCTACCACCCATGGGCGCCATCTCCGTCGTACCCGAAGGACCGTTATCGAAGGTACTACCTGCGCTGCTCAACTCAAACCACCCCGCTCTGGGGGTCTCTCGCCCGTGGCCTCGGCTCCCTTTCCCAAGGACTCTTATAGACTCTACTGTCTGAATCGGCTCGCCTGACATGCCTCTGTTGGAGGCATTGTGGTAGCCCAGCGTTTCGATGGGGGCTCCCTTCTCTTCGGTGCTGTCGGGCAAGTCTAGGCAGGATGACGACACCCTGGTCTCGATCCGGTAATGCTCCTCTTGCTGCTTCTGCTGCTCCCCCCCGGGAGCAACCCCCACCTGGCCAAGGCCGGACAGGCCCGTGCTGTCGCTGGGGCCCCCTTTCGCAACCTGGCCGAAATGCTTGCTCTCGTCCGAGGGCTTGCGGGAGGCGTTCTTCAGCATGTTCTTGAACTCAATGGTCGAAGTGGCGGAGATGGAAGACACGTCGGGCTTGTCTGCGTTGCTCGTGGGGAGTCTGCTGGCCGGGGCCAGGAGCGCGTTCTGCGGGGAGAAAAGCGACCTTTGGGGGACCAAGTGCGGGGAATCCGGATACTGCTTCTGAGGCATGGGTTTGGACAAGCTGTTGTGGTTGGAATCCGGTGGGAAAAAGACATCGTTCTTGCTCGGCGTAGGCGAAGCGTCCGAGCCGGAGTCGTTTCCCCGCAAACCGTAGCCCCCGTATATTCCAGGCGAGGTCAATGGGTCGCAGCTTTCGCTCTGGTCGTGGAGAGCTCTCATTGACTGGGGGAAAGCAGATTTCAGGCCAAACCCGGAGGCACGTTGACCGTAACTCGACAGAACAGACGGGTACTCGGAGGGGTCAGAAAGCTTGCTGGACTTCAGGATTGACTTTCCTGGCTGCTTCTCCAGGTTCACCAAAGCAGAAGGCGGTGGGCCGGAGTAATCAAAGTCACGGTAGTCTTCATCCTCCTGGAAGGAGGTGTCTGGGTAGAACTTCTCTTGCGGGGAGTCCATCAAAGAGGAAGGCAACTCTATCCCATCAGAAGACTGCTTGTACATGCCGGCTGGAGAATCTCGGCTCAAGCTGAAGGACCTGTACACTGAGTTGGACAATTCCTGGGGGTAGCTGTCATCCCGGCTCTGAAGGGGTGACCTTGTGCTACTCGGAGTAGAGGATCCGGGGCTGATGATCTTTGACAGCAGCGACATGGTGTCCACGTTGCTGGATGATGGCTTGTCCATCATCTCATCCTGAGTCGGAGTCCCGCTCCTCTCATCCCGGACGGGAGTCCCATCAATGCTGTCCATAGAGGTGCTTGTGGGTCCGCGGTTGAAATCAGAGGAAGACGACTGGCTCTCGGGGGGCGCGGCGGCAGACCCCAGGCTGCTCAGAATGGGGATGTTGAGGTTCAGGCCGCTGAATCCTGGATTCCCCTTCAGGAAATTGTGTATCTTCATTTCCAGACTCGGGGAAGGGGGTTCCAACTCGAGCTTGGCCTCCGCCAGCTCGGAGGATTGGCTCGTGGGGTTCTCAGCCGGCCGAAGGGAAGGGCTGACATTGTGGGAGCCGGAGAACCCCAAGGAATTGGTGGGAGGCTTGAAACTAGAACTGGGGAGCCCCACACTGTGCCCAGAAGGAACCTTGTTGACCGAGGTGGAAGAGACCTCAGCCGAGGAGGAAGAATTTGGAGAATAGCCAAAACTCTGGGGCATGAAGGGCTGAGCATTAGAGGAAATGTTCCTTCCTTTTACAGAAGAAGCCGTCGTGTTGGCCGGCGATGCCGACGTACTCTGGGATGCCATCTCGGTGGCTGGGCTGTGTTCCCAAGCCACACTCTGGAGGAACGAGGACAGACCTGGAGCGGAAGAGGAACATTTTGATCAAGAAGCAAGAGGGCAAGAGAACCACCTCCATAAAGTAAGCAGCCTGTCAGCGAACCTTGTCCAGTTCTTTTAAAATCCTTTTAAATCTAAGCAACCCAGGTTGTTATTTTATCTAACCGTTTATGGAGTGGTCAAGAGAACCCAAGTCAATAAGTAGCCCACCTTTCAGCGAGTGCCACTTGCCGTCTGTTAAAAGCCGCGTAGAAACTAAGCCGCTTCTGGAGAACCAGAGCAGTGCACGGAAACGCCGTTTACCTTCCCACCGGAGCGGTACCTATTTATCTACTTGCACTCTGACGTGCTTTCGAACTGCTAGGCGGGCAGGAGCAGGGACCGAGCAGCGGGAGCTCACCCCCGTCGTGGGGATTCGAACTGCCAACCTTCTGATCAGCAAGTCCTAGGCTCTGTGGTTTAACCCACAGCGCCACCCACGTAGAACTGCTTAAATTAACCAACGCAACTGAATCTCAGTCCATTAAGTAGAACTTACTTGGATCTCAACCTTTGCAAAATGAATATAAGCTGAAGATGGCATCCAACATTAAGGCGGCTGTTTCCAATGGGTTAACCAGGAGTATGAAATCACCCTAAATAAACATTCCCCCTGAAAACAATACTAAGGACATTCTGGCACATTTTAAGCTCGAAGCTGCTCTTCAAGGAGCAAGCTGCATCAGCCAGGGGGGATAACTAAGAAGGTCCATTCCAGCAAGGGAGTCCCCCATTGATGCTCGCGGGAGGCCCAGTCTGACCACTGGCCCCATCCCTCCCAGGCTGACTACCCACTTACCTTGCAGGCCTGGTGCAGACTGACTCTGGCTCTTGGAGAGCACCGAGAGGATACTTTCGGGGGTGATCTCGACTTTGGAGAAGATATTGGCCAAAGGGTTTGGAGGGGCAGTCAGGGGGCCCATCCCTGTGGTCTTCAGGCCGCTCATAAGTGTCGTTGGGCTGGTTGGGGTGCCAGGCGAAGGTCTCGAGGCAGGACTGACGCCTGGAGGGAAGAAAAGGTTGCACAACGTGGAATTATACAGAAGCCTCTGGGTCTGACACACCCCAGAGCCAGGATAAAGACCACGGCTCACCCCAAAACTCCAAGAAGCTCACGCACTGTATAAAAAAACCGCAAGAGGGAGAGAGGGTGCCAAAGGCTGGGAAGTCAGGTTGGGCTAGGCCAGGGGTCTGAAACCCGCAGCTCCGGAGCCGCATGTGGCTCTTTTACACCTTTGCTGTGGCTCCGGGGCGGATACTAGTGAGGGGAGGAGGCGCATTGTGCGCCCCGACACTCCCCACTGTGGCGGGCGCTGTACTGGCTGTGACGTCGCATGGGGGCAGTGCGTGCGTTAGTCACGCACCGTCCCGACGTCACCTTCCCGCCCGCTGTCAGATTGCGGCTCCGGGGATATATTTGTTTTAAATGTCGTAATGGTTTTGCGGCTCTTCAGAAACGGGTCCAAGTGGCTCTTTTTGTCTTAAAGGTTGCAGACCCCTGGGCTAGGACTTTGTGGAGGTGAAGAAAACTCGTAAGAAGCAGAGTTTGGAGGAGAATTCAGTTTCCCAAACATTTCCACTAAAAAACAACAACAAAAAACTTTTCTAGCTCTCATGGGCAGAAAGGTATGCTGGAAAAAGGGAGCAAGCAATGCAGACCTCACACCAAGAAGGGTGGCCAAGTGCGGTTTCCAGTGTTGGGGGCTTCAGTGCCGCTGCCCCTCCCACAACTAACAAGCACAGAGGTAGGTTGTGCAAGGAGAACATACGCCCAGTTTGCGTCATTTATTCAGCCTGCAAAGGACTCCACCCTTTGACACAGACGCCCAAGACCCAGTCCAGTTGTCACAGAGCACCAGGACACGCGACTCTCACCTGTGTTCTTCATCACCGAGGTGAGGCTGCTGAGAATGGAGCTGATCTTGGCCAAATCCACATTGGCGAGGTTCGGCAAGGCGAGGGCAGGGGACTGGGGAAGGGGTGCTGCTGGGGTGGCCGGCTTAGGGGTTGTAGGGGTGATGGGGCTTGGAGCCAGCGTTGCCACAACCGGAGCAGGGAGCGCTGCTGCTGCTGCTTGCAGTGGTGGCACTGCTGCTGCTGCAGCTGTCGTGGAAGGAGACGTTTTCGGGACGCTTTCAGCCATCTTCGCGGGGGGCATTGTGGAAACAGCCGGCTTCTCTTTCCGTTCGTCCACTGGTGCAAAAGACACAGAGAGGAGACAGTGAGGAGAAGGCATTGCTCAGTCCACTGCCTTAGTTCCTTAAGCAGGGACCCTCCAGGTGTTTTAGAATACAGTGGTACCCTCGCAAGACGAAATTAATTCGTTCCGCGAGTTTTTTCTCTTGCGAGTTTTTTGTCTTGTGAAGCCACGGGTTTCCCATAGGAATGCATTGAAAATCAATCAATGCGTTCCTATGGAAACCGCCTTCAGACCAGGTCCGGGGACAGTCTGTCCCCCGACCTCTTCTGAAGGCTGGGGGGGGGGGGACGAGGGGGCTTGTCTTCCCGACTGCCAGCCTTCAGAAGGCTGTTCTGAAGGCTGGCCGGTGGGGAGAAAAGCGCTTCTCCCCACCTCCCGCCCCCGCAAGTCCGGGACAGGAGGGGCTTTTGCCTGCTGACCGCCAGCAGTTTTAAAAGCCTCCGGGACAGCGGAGACTTCTCCGCTGTCCCGGGGCGATTTTTAAAATGCTGGCGGGCGGCAGCGAAGCCTCCGCTGTCCCGGGCGATTTTAAAATGCTGGCGGGCGGGCAGCGAAGCCTCCGCTGTCCCGGGGCGATTTTAAAATGCTGGCGGGCGGCAGCGAAGTCTCCGCTGTCCCGGGGGCTTTTAAAATGCTGGGGGTTGGCAGCGAAGGCTTCGCTGCTGCCCACCAGCATTTTAAGATCGCCCCGGGACAGCGGAGAAGTCTCCGGTGTCCCGGGAAGGCAGGCGGGGGGGGAGCAAAGACTTTTGCCCCCCGCCGGCCTTCAGAAGAGGTCCAGGACCTCTTCTGAAGGCTGGGGGTGGGCGAAAGTCTTTGCTCCCGACCGCCAGCATTTTAAAAGAGGTCCCCGGAGATTTCCCTATGGGCTTTCTTCTTGCGAAGCAAGCCCATAGGGAAATTCGTCTGGCGAAGGACCTCGAAAAACGGAAAACTCTTTCTTCTTGCGAGTTTTCCGTCTTGCGAGGCATTCGTCTTGCGAGGTACCACTGTACACTCCCCATGCTGACAGTGGATAATAGGATTGGCAGCCAAACATCCGAAGGGCACGAGGTTGGAGAAGGAAAAATGCACAGAATTCATTCATATGGTCATTCATCGTGTTTGCATTCCTCTGTTTGTGTGTGTGAAACAAAGTTTAGGACAATTCTAACCATTTCAGTTCCTTATCCCGCCCCCGCCCCCCAATGTGGCAGTTTATGTGTTTCCTAAACCTTCCGCGGCCACTGCCAGCTTGGTTTCCTAAACTCATCCCCTTTGCCCCCTACTCTAACCTATGAAAAGCATTAAATAGAATAGCTCTTTGCATGAGCCACAACAGAAAGAACACGATAAAATTCAAGTCATTAAGTGCATATTGAACCACAAAATCTGATTCAACCTACAGTGGTACCTCGGGTTAAGAACTTAATTCATTCTGGGGGTCCATTCTTAACCTGAAACTGTTCTTAACCTGAGGTACCACTTTAGCTAATGGGGCCTCCTGCTGCCGACACATGATTTCTGTTCTTATCCTGAAGCAAAGTTCTTAACCCGAGGTACTATTTCTGGGTTAGCGGTGTCTATAACCTGAAGTGTATGTAACCTGAAGCTTCTGCAACCCGAGGTACCACTGTATTTAGTTTAATTCATTCAACAAAACTGATGAGTTTGAACCAGCTCTTGCTGCCAACTTTTCAAACTCCGATAGTCATTTAAAACTCTGGTGCCCCCCCCCCTTAAGTAACCCCAGTGCCCCCAAGGAGGCAGTACTGCGCATTTGGGAACCACCGCTTGGCTTGTCTCCCCGACACAATGAGGGTTTCCCCTCCCGTTTCTCCACAGATCCCTCACCTCTTCCCACCCCGCAGAATGGCAGAGTCCAGAAACATCTTTACATGTGGCCATTCCCTAAGTTCAAAGCCCCCCACCAAAAAAACCCCCTGATGGACAACCTACCAATGATCTTTGGGGCCTCCTCCTCCTCCTCCACATCGGAGAGCTCCATGTCCTCCACGTCACGATTGTCCGTTGCGGGCTCTGGAGTCGGAGTCTTCTCCCTTTCTGCCCCTGGGGACGGGGAGTTGTCGTCCTCCCCCATCCCAGGGAAGGGAGACTCCGAGCCAGTCGGGGAAGGGGCGTCCATGCTCGGGGAGGGGACGGGCGATTCCTCAGGGTCGGGAAGCGTCGCCTTCAGCTGATCCAGTTTCTTCTTGAGGTTGTTCACTCTGTTAGCAAAGGTCTTGTAAGCCTGGCCAAAGCGGTGGAATGAGAGAGAAAAGCCGTGTTCATGTCTGACCTTTAACAAGCGTGCACAAATATTTGTCCAGAAAGTAGGACCTGAACCATTGCATTCAGATTACAAAAAAGAAGACTCTGACTAAACATTGGGGGGAAAACCTCCTGACTGTTTGAAAGTGGAACAGACTTCCCCTCAGGAGGTGGTGGAGATTTTTAAGCAGAGGTTGGGTGGCCAACTGTCAGTGATTCTTTAGCTGTGGTTGCAGCGGGTTGGAGAATTGGAAGGGATTCCAAGACGACCCTCGGGATCCCTTCCAACTCTACGATGTTTTGGTGCCACCACTGAAGAGACTCTGTCCCTTACACCTGGGTGCTGCCCCGCAAGAACCAAGAGGACATTCTGGAGCACGCCCAATGCTCTCCCGTGGCTGCCCAGAGCTACACAGAAAAAGAAGAAGAAGAAAAAGAGGAGTTTGGATTTGATATCCCGCCTTTCACTCCTTTAAAGGTAAAGGTAAAGGTACCCCTGCCCGTACGGGCCAGTCTTGACAGACTAGGGTTGTGCGCTCATCTCACTCTATAGGCCGGGAGCCAGCGCTGTCCGGAGACACTTCCGGGTCACGTGGCCAGCGTGACAAGCTGCATCTGGCGAGCCAGCGCAGCACAGCACACCACACGGAAATGCCGTTTACCTTCCCGCTAGTAAGCGGTCCCTATTTATCTACTTGCACCCAGGGGTGCTTTCGAACTGCTAGGTTGGCAGGCGCTGGGACCGAGCAACGGGAGCGCACCCCGCAGCGGGGATTCGAACCGCTGACCTGACGATCGGCAAGTCCTAGGCGCTGAGGTTTTACCCACAGCGCCACCCGCGTCCCTTTCACTCCTTTAAGGAGTCTCAAAAAGCGGCTAACATTCTCCTTTCCCTTCCTCCCCCACAACAAACACTCTGTGAGGTGAGTGGGGCTGAGGGACTTCAAAGAAGTGTGACTGGCCCAAGGTCACCCAGCAGCTGCATGTGGAGGAGCGGAGATGCGAACCTGGTTCCCCAGATTACGAGACTACCGCTCTTAACCACTACACCACACTGGCTCTCTTGTTCACCACCGATCTGTTCATTAAGAAATCCTCAGTAGAGTTCTGGAGGAAAACTGCCCTCCACTCCCAATAGCAGTTTGAAAGCCACAGGTTTCCAGTGAACATGAGACTGGGTTAACTACACTGACTCAGTTGATGCTTTAGCCTTTCTGAACTTGGTGCCTGCGGGACATTTCGGACGGCAACTCCACCAAGCCCCCCTGACCAATGCCCAGGACTGATGGGTGTGCTCAGCTGGGAGGCTGCTTTATGGAGTGGAGAAGCCCCTTTGCACTCACATTTGCCACCACCTTGACTTCCTTGTACTGCGCTTCATAGAAGATCCCTGCGTTCTCCAGCACCTCGGTCAAGGATGGGCCGCTTTTCACCTGCTTGTCCAGGCTGTTGACAAACTCTTCCAGCTTGGCACTCGCCTCCTCAAACTCCTTGGAGAATTTCTTTCCCCCTGTTTTGTCTGAAAGGGAAAGGAGGGGTGGTTTTTTTTGGCTTAGCAGGGGGAGGAGAGAAAGCAAGAGAGACCAACCCTTCCTCCCCTGAAAGAAATCAACAGGCGATGGTCAGTGCTAGTCCTACTCAGACCCATATATTTAAAAATAATGGAAAAAAATTGCTGAAACTTTTCAACATACAATATAATAAAAAACAAACTAATCAAACTCATCTAAATAAAAGTAAAAAACAAAACAACAAAAAAGCAAAGAGAGAGAGAAATTAGAATACAAGACAAAGCCCTCTCCCAAAGGCAGATTTTAATTCTTGTCTCACACAGAAGATGGTGGACCCTCCCATCTCTCACCTGGGAGATCTTCAGAGCAGACCCAATTAAGTTAGTAGACCTAACTACTCTGGATCTCCTCTGAGCAGAACTTTGTGGAGACAAGCCATTGACCCTACAGATTTAAGGTGCTGCTTTTGACCTTTAAAGCCCTTCATGGCCTAGGACCCTCGTACCTACGGGACCGCCTCTCCTGGTATGCCCCACGGAGAGCCTCAAGGTCCATAAATAGCAACACCCTAGTGGTCCCGGGCCCTAAGGAAGTTAGATTGGCTTCAACCAGAGCCAGGGCCTTCTCAGCACTGGCTCCAGCCTGGTGGAACACTCTGTCTCATGAGACCAGGGCCCTGCAGGATCTGATTTCTTTCCGCAGGGCCTGTAAGACAGAGTTGTTCCGCCTGGCCTTTGGCTTGGAGCCAATTTGATTCACTCCCTCTCTTTCTTTTTTCCTTTCCTTCTCCTCCTGCGATGAGGCTACATTTTAATATTTTAATGTTTCAATACTTCAATGTTGTATTTTAATTTTGTTTTTAAGTTGTAATCATTCAACTTGTTTTTATTATTGCTTGTAAGCCGCTCTGAGCCCAGCCTTGGCTGGGGAGGGCGGGGTATAAATGATTATTATTATTATTATTATTATTATTATTACTCCTTGGTGGTGGTCATGGGAGGATAGGCGTGTGTGTTTGTATACAGGCAGGGATATGTAAGGGTTCGGGCAGTTCTTAAGGCAACGTGGCTTAAGGGAAATCCGATGCCCCGCCCCGCCTGTGCACTGCACCTTTCAAGCACTTCAGGGTCTCGGTGCTGCAGACGTCGACTCTCATGGTGGAGAGCTGCTTTTCCTTCAGCTCTATCTGGTCCTCGGAACGCTTGTAGCAGAGCAGTTCATCAACCAGGGACTGCGGCTGGATGGGGAGGGAGAAAATGAGAGAGATGTGGATTCCGCCAGACACAAAAATGGAAGCAAACTGATTTATGAAGCTGAAAGTACTTTGCGGTGAGGCAGGCAGGGAGAGAAGAATGCAGTGCAAATGCTTCCAATTCTTGGGGTAGGGAGGGAGTCCCGCTGGTGTACAGAAAGATGGGAAATGCAGGTGTGGGGCATGCAAGACATTTTTCCGGCGTGGCATTTTTCTAGGGTAGCTTCTCTGCCCCTCTCTCCACCAACACCCAATTTCCCTGACCTCCCTCTCATGTACAGTGCTGATCATTGACCTCTTGACTGCCATCTCGACCACCAGGGCAACACACTGTGTGGCAGTGGGCAAAAGGTGACCGTTAAATACACACCCAGCAACAAGAACACGCAGGCCCCGGATATGCCCAGGATTCAGCATATCTCTCTTCTCCTCCTCCTCCTCCTCTGGTTGACCAAGCTGCTAACAAGGCTCCAAGATCTAGACTTTGGCCCTGCAGCTTGCAGCAGAGTCTTGCCCTGCTATTCTGGCACATGCACCCCAAAACAAATTGACTTTGTAATAGGATTTCCAAATCTGTCCCTTCTAATCTTTTTTAAATACAGTGGTGCCTCGCAAGACGAAATTAATTCGTTCCGCGAGTTTTGTCGTCTTGCGATTTTTTTCGTCTTGCGAAGCACGGTGTCGGGAAAGTTTTGGAAAAGCTTCAAAAATCACCAAAGTCTTCAAAAACCTCAAAAAAGGCTACCACACCGCGTTCTATGAGTTGCTCCTCAAAGTCAAGTCGCAACTGTATTAACGGTGTCAAGAAAAAGGAAACAAACTTGCAAGACGTTTCCGTCTTGCGAAGCAAGCCCATAGGGAAAATCGTCTTGCGAAGCAGCTCAAAAAACAAAAAACCCTTTTGTCTAGCGAGTTTTTTGTCTTGCGAGGCATTCGTCTTGCGACGTACCACTGTATGTGGATATGTCAAAATGCATCCAAGCACATGACTGGTTACGTGTGTGTGTGTGTGAGAGAGAGAGAATGAATGACATGCTAGATTTTATGTTTTCAAATATAGGGGACTGGCCATATTTGTGCTGCTTCCAAAAAAGCACTTCTTCACGGGGCTCCTTCTAAAACTACGGACTACCCTCTCACCAAGGTAGTTACGCCCCTCAGCTTCAAAATAAGACTGGACAAATTCATGTAGGAGAGGGCAACTAGCCACAAGGGCTACGCTCTGCCGTCCCGTTCAGACCAGCTGCTGGCAGCAGCAAGAGAGGCTGGTGCTATTGTGCTTGGATTCCGCTTGTGGGCTTCCCTTGGTTGGCCACTGTGGGAACAGGATGCTGGACTAGATGAGCCACTGGCCTGATCCAGTAGGCTCTTCTTAACTTTCTCGTTTATCCCCACATCCCTATGGGTAGCTCAAAAAACGCGCAGAGCTCCTTGGAGTGTCTAGCCTACCCACTCTGCTACCTCATTGACACTCCATCTCAAGGCAGATATGGGTGCAGAGTTCAAGGCAGGGGCCGGGAACCGGTGGGCCTGCAGTTGTCTCTGGATGCCAACTCCCACCAGCAACCTCCCTGGTCACAGGGGCTGTACCAGCTGCTGGGAGTTGGAGTCGGGCAACCTCTGGTCCCCAGGGCCTGCTTTCTGACTTGAGTACCAAGGGCCACCAGTTTGTCATCCCTGCTGAAAAACTGACGGTTTTTCGGGTCTCGTGCCCACGCACAAAGCAAGTAAGATGAAGAGGTTACTGGACTTACTCGAAATTCTGCAACAATCTTGGACTTCAGTGCGGCTTTTGGATTTGTAGAGGCTGTGGGAACAAAGGAATAAGGTGTTTAAGGAAGATCGTGAAGGTGCAGCATTCTAGAGGAGAACCCCCTCCTTCGTTTCCCACATGCAAGGGTCTGTGCAAAACCCCCCAGCAGGAAGCCACTATCCTCCCTCCACACTCAGTTGTAACACGGATGCTTCACACATGCAGGGAGAGTGATACACCCAGGTTGGTTGCTCCCCAGGAACAGCCCTCTGCACCAACCCTGCCCACCCCCCTAAACCTCTGAGCGCACTGCTGTGCCTCTTACTCTAAAGAGGCAAGAGGAGGAATCCCCTCCTCTCTCTGCATGAATGCCTGTTCTGTCCTAGTGCAGGGCAGCAACTAATGCAGAGATGCGACGGGCAACTTCCTGTGAGAGGTGGGTCATTCTGCGGTACCCCCCACCCCTGCCAAATGCTTGCAAAGCAACGCCTTAGCTTCCTTGCTCTAATTTGCTGCTTCCAGAGAGGAGGAACGGAATACTCCTTTCAGGATAAATCCAGATGTTGCTTAGCAAAAGGAAGACTATTTGCAGCCTCTGTTACGTCTCTTCTCCTGACAGAGGAACAACATGCCGTTAGAGAGACAGGCTTTCGGCCTTGTGCCAAACTGGTTTCCAGGTGGATCCAAGCCCAACTCCCAAACATTAGCCTAATGAGGTTGACAGAAGCCTTTCCTGTCTGACGTCCCATTGGTCATCTTCTCTTAGCCATTTGGGGCTTTCCTGTCTGTACTGCTGCTGTGCTGGTGGACTTATAAGCTGTTCTCCGAGAATGCCAAAGACGGTTTGTTATCTGCGTGCTCTCTCTCTCCCTGATGCACTGAAAGGAGTCTGCTGTTTAAGTTAACCTAGTCCTCTGCCACTGAATGCAGGTCCTTGACTTCAAGTCTGACCGGCCAGGCTTAAATTGCCACTCACTAATCATGCGTGCTGCCTCTCCGTCTTTCAATATACTAACGCCAGCTCCCCTAAACACCCCACCACGTCTTTTCTCTGTACATCGCGGGCTAATTTAAACACAGTCATATATCCTGCATAATTTTAAGAAGTGCCTCTCTTGGTGTCTTTAGCAAAGGACGCTGCCAGCCTGACGAAGAACACAAGGCACCGTGAGTGCCTACGGTGAGGTGTGGTTTTTTGGTGTGTGTGTGTGTGTGTCTGTTCTAGGCTGTTCCTCAAGGAGGTTAAAATATCAAAAGCTCAGACCGTTTCCCGTGAGGATTTCCTTACTTTGAGGTTTCTTCCATGACTTAGTTGGCTGTTTGCTCTGAGTTTCTTTCTGCTGCTTCTGAGCTTTGAAAGTGGAACCTGGAAAACATTTTTGTTTGGTTTTGTTTTTGGTTTTGCAGTCTGAGATTATGGGATGCCCTTTAGGAGTCTCTATGCATGTTTAAAATAAAAAAAGGGAGAGAAAGAGAGAGACCAATAGAGGTTGATACCTGCTGGCAAACATTTGACAAGGCAAAGCAGCAGGAGACTTAAAACCAAAAATCTGAGCTTACAATGCGGAAACTTCTGAGGACGGGTCCGTCCGCCTTTCAGGATTTCAATCGGGCTTTACATGAAAAGGACGAAGTTGGCAATCTCAAGGAACAGAGTTGGGACCTCAAGTGAATTTGCAGGCAGTAGTTTAAAAGCCCCTTTCGCTTGGCTTGTGAGCGTAGACAGGAAGCCTTATGTCCATGGATGTCTGGTAGCTTAAACGGACTTGAAAGATTCCACCGTGCAAATTAAATACGGAAGTCTCTCACACTTTTTGAACATGCCACTCCCCACAACTCAATTCTATTTTCATGGCCCACCCAGCCCAGCATTTAAACCGTAGGGGCTCTGCAGACAAACAAGCTCTGAGGAACAGCAGGACTATAGATAACCTGGAAATCAACGTTAAAAGATCTCTTGCTGCTGCGAGAAAAGTCTGTTGACTGGGGCACTAATCCAAGGGCAGCGGTACAAGGGAGACGGTACCTGCTAACACCAGCACCCCAGACGAAAAGCATCGTCAAAATAGCAAAAGCAGGACTTATCGTGCAACATCATGACCATCTGTGAGGCTTCAGTGTACGAATGCTACTCTGCGGGGCTATTAGGTTAGTCTGGACAAAGGAGGATCCTGCTTCCCTGGAGAGAGTTTCCCTACAGTTGCATACAAAAATGTACTGCATGAACTTTCCACTGGGAAATGCTGAACTGGAACTTTGTTGCCCCAGCAAGCTAAAAGACTGAATCACTCACCAGTGTCACATAGAACTGTAATTATTATTATTATTATTATTTCTCATTTATACCCTGCCCATCTGGCTGGGTTTCCCCAGGGCTGGATATTTAAGTAACCTTTCAGATATTTAAAATTAAGGACGGAAATTAAGTGGCAAGTGGTGTAAACCACAGCAACCTGGGGCAGACAGTCCAGAATTCTCTTCCCTACGCAAAATGCCACTACTGACTTCTGTGCAGGTGCAGAGAGATGATAGCTAATGGATTTAAAGGATAAAACGTTGTCCTCGTAATCTCAAACCAAACTCTGCCTCACCCACCCTCTAAGTCATCATCACAAATGCACAGATGTGGAAAAAGAGTAATGGAGAACTTACTTAAAGCTTCTTTCAGTAACATGATGGTTTCTTCTGGATACACATTTCTATCTTCCCAGATTTTAAAGATTCTTTCTATAGATTTGGAGACCGATGGATCTCTGAAAAGGACACATAGATAACACATGACTGTTTCTAGTGCATCAAATTGCCCTCTCCTCTATGCAAAGTGCCAGAAGAGATGGCTGATTAAAATAAAATGCAAAAAGGAGGCTACTCACCTTACCTTCTCTTTCAATAATTTTCTGCAGGTGGGGATACCAACCAGCACAGGTTGGGGCAAATGAGTAAAATATGTACAACTGATATTTTCCCCCCCAATTCCGCAAAAAAAAAAAAAAAAAAAAATGCACATTCTGACATAGATAGGAATCTTATCCTCAGCACATATCTTACAATGCTAGTGCAGGGATCTGCCACTAGCTAAAGTCTCTTCCTCCAAATTCTCCACTCCAGAAGTGCATTCCTACCATGAAACAGAATACGTCTAAAGGGTGAAGCTGTAGACTGTTTTTTCCATATGCAAATTTAATAAACGCATTGACAGAGCTCACAGATGGACTAAGGTGTCTTTTCATCTGGCAACGCCCTGGCTTTCAGTTAGCACAACTTGTCCTTACAAAAGGGCAAACAGTGCTGTGCTTGTAAAACCAGGGGTTAGATCAAGGCAGTAAGGCAACACCTGCAAACAGGGATAGTTCGCTGAGAAAAGGCAGAAATCTTCCCCCAGTATCTTCTCCTTAGGACAGTTTTCACCAACCTGATATCCTCCAGTTTGTTTTTGGGCTACAATTCCCATCTGCCCCAGCCAGACCTGAATATCAACAAGAAAGCCTGTGGCTTCAGAGCTAAAATCACACAACTATTTTAGATTTTAAGATCTTTGGGACAGAGACCTTCCGTCTTGTTCCCTGAAAAGTGCCAAGGAGTGTTGTTTCTCAAGCACAGCCTACGTAAAGAAGAAGCCACTGTCCTGCCCTCACACTGCACTTTCTACTTCCTAAGAAGCACCCTGTGACAGAACCTGCTTTCACACATGCCTTGCTGTTCATTCACAAAGCAAACAAAGAAATCCAGCCAGCCTCCTCCGCACACCAACTTGAGTTTGGCGAGCAGCGAACAAAAAGACTTGTGTTGGATGAGAAATGCAGGGGGAAGCCATCAACTTACTTCACCAAAGCGGCAGCCTCCGGGAGCACTTCGGCAAACGTGTCACGGAACACAATCGCGTTTTTCCTTTTGCAGTTCTGGATGACATCATTGGCCAGGTAGAAAAGGTTCAGCCGATGCGGAAAGGCAGCTGGAAAGAGCAAGGAGGAAGAAGGTCAGTTGGTGCACCAAGTCACCACTCATGAGCCAGGAAGGCTCCTTTGGTAAAGCCACGGGATAAGGCGGCAATGTGGGATGGAAATTATTGCAACACTTAATTTTCCTGCAGAAAAAAATGTGTTTCGTAAAGTTCACCAGCGACAAGGAATGGATGCGGGATGCAACTACAATCTTAGGCAAAGCATGGCAGGTCTGGAGTTTTTAAGCTTCACTTGCCAAATATTAGTAAAGCAAGCATGCTAATGATCAGCCTTTGCCAACCTGATGCCCTCCAGATGTTTTGGGCTACAACTCCCTTCAGCACCAGCCAGCACATGACTTGGGTCAAAAGGCTCCCTATTGAAAAGCCCAGCAGAAATGGGAGCATTTAAAAAATGTGACCTGCAATTTTAAAAAGGTGTTTCTGCTCATCCCTTTCCACAGCGTGGCAGAAAAGATTCTCACCCTGAACAGCACACAACCACAATGCCACCATCTGCATGAATCCTTGTGATTCTGCCTTGCAGAGAGGCAGGGTCACTCTCTGAAGACCAGCTTGGCAACTATCGAGAACCAGCAGTGCTCAGGAAGCCAGGGCGAATGGTGGAGTCAAGACTTGTAAGGAGATGTGCAAGGAGCTGCCTTGAACCAAGCTGACCAGTGCTGTCAACTCTGACTGGCAGTGTCCCTTCTCTGCCTGATTAAGATCCTTCAGTTGGGAAGTCCAAGCATTTGGAACAGGGGCAGGAAAACCTTCTCAGCCTGAGGGCCACAAGTGAGTGGTGGGCGGGGCCAGGGGCAAAAACAGGGCGGAGCAACAGGTGTAAATTTTATCCTACACACAATTTACACACCCCTCTCTATTCTGAATCCAGGCAAGCAAGAGGCAAACCTGTGCAATCCTCCCCCAGCCAGACAGGGTATTCACCACAGTGTGGGGAAAGCAGAGGGCAGGTGTCTCCCCATCCACCCCACTGCTGCCGTCACAGATTTCCCCCTGGCCCTACTCTGCAGCAGAGAAGGAGCCATCAGGTTTCCCAGACTCCACAAATGCGGCCCAAGTTCAATATCCCCACCCCCTGATGCAGAACAATGGCCCCTCCTCAATGAGGCAGCCACACATGGGCTACGGCAATCCATGCAGTCGGGCCATTCAAGGGCAGCTCCAAGTCCATTCTGCAGCCCTTCTGATCTCTGCTCCCAATCTGTAAGCCAGATGGGCAAGTCTTGTCCCTGAACTGCTGATATGAAGATCCGAGCAGTGCAACAGACTGTGCTCCAATCCGCTCCCATCACATTGGGGACAGAGGGCAGAGCAGCCTCGGAAGACGCTCCTCCTGCATATACCCTGCCCGGAAGCAACCCCCCCCCCCCAGCCTGAATCAATGCTATGTTCAGTAGGTACTTTTGCTAGATCCCATTTATTGCCTCAAAGGGGAGAGACAGTATGTTTCCAGGCACAATTCAAAGTGTTGGTGCTGACCTTGAAAGCCCTAAACGGCCTCGGTCCAGTAGACCTGAAGGAGCGTCTCCACCCCCATTGTTCTGCCCGGACACTGAGGTCCAGTGCCGAGGGCCTTCTGGCAGTTCCCTCACTGCGAGAAGCCAAGTTACAGGGAACCAGGCAGAGGGCCTTCTCGGTGGTGGCGCCCGCCCTGTGGAACGCCCTCCCACCAGGTGTGAAATAGAACAACAACTACCAGACTTTTAGAAGACATCTGAAGGCAGCCCTGTTTAGGGAAGCTTTTAATGTTTGACAGACTACAGTACTGTATTTTAAGAATTTGTTGGAAGCCGCCCAGAGTGGCTGGGGAACTCCAGCCAGATGGGTGGGGAAATAATAATAATAATAATAATAATAATAATAATAATAATAATAATAATTACTACTACTACTACTATTAGCAACAATTGTTCCTTGCTGGGCCCATATACTGTTAGTAATGTAACCTAATAAAAGGTTACATACCCCTTTTAGCTTTTTTAAATTAGTCTGTTCTCTCTCTCATGATGCAAGGAATGTAACCACCGGCAAACAGAAGTAAAAAGCACAGAATGCAGCTTCTCACTGTAGCACTGTGTGGGAGGGAACCTCCAGCCTCCAGACCTCTCCATCTGGTCCTCAGCACCGTCCCCAGGACACGCCTCTGTATGCCACTGCCCTCTCTTGTGCCTCTGCCTGGCGGGAACATAGGCCTGAGCTGTGGTAATGCCTCTTGCCTGCCTGGACAGCACAGAAAAGAATCTAGCCCACTGGACAGAAGTTAAGGAGTCACAGCTGCTACTTTGCCCACTTTGGAGTGGAGGGGAAATAGTGGCAATTTTAGGAAAGGTATCTTTTTTAGATTTATGCTTACATTTTTGTTGTTTTTTTGTTTATTCCTATATATAGGGTGAAGGTATTTGCGTTAATAAAATGTTGGGGTACAACAATGAATTAAAGTATAATTCTACTATTAAAAATGATTTTAATTAAATTAGGTTTAAGTGATTTTAATAAACTAAGTTTCAGGATTTTAAGGGGAAAACTTGCTTGAATAAATAAATTGGAGTTGGAAAACAATAGGAGGAGACGCGGGGAAGTTTTGAAAAGAAGTTACTGAAAATGAGTATGAAAAGGTGAAAATCTTTTTTTGTGTGTGTGTTGTGTGTTTTTTTTTTTTTTTTTTGGTTTTTATTTCTTGTTTTATGTAACCTTTTGGAAAATTAATAAAGATTATTAAAAAAAAAAATACTTTGCCCACTTTGGTCTTGCCCAGGAGGGAATGCAGCCCTGACTGAAAAGAGGTCCCTCCCCAGGGCGGTGTAACAGAAACAGCGCTATCCAGTCCAAATTCCAAATGTGAGACATCCAGCCTCTCACACTCATCAAAATGACTAGGACAGCACAGTGAAATCTTGCCTATTTCCCCATGCCATCGCACACCCTGCACAGCATCAAACTATTAATTGTTCTAATTAAGTATTTATTAGCTTGCAAGCACTCCTGCCATCGGTGAGGTTTAAAAAACAGAACAAGCTGTCCTGGCTGCAAAGTGCTCCAGAGTTGTGATTAACGCCTCTTCCATGTCTGGATGGGAGGGTGGAGAGGTAGCTGCATGTAGAAAACTGTGGCTTGCACAAGGCTGGTACGTAGCCTACTGCATAGGTAAAGGTAAAAAGGCAAAGGGCCCCTGGATGGTTAAGTCCAGTCAAAGGTGACTATGGGGTTGCGGCGCTCATCTCCACTTTCAGGCCAAGGGAGCCGGCGTTTGTCCACAGACAGCTTTCCGGATCATGTGGCTAGCAGGACTAACCCGCTTCTGGTGCAATGAAACACCGTGATCAGGGTGGATAAAAATCAATGATTAAAAAAATAAAATAAGTAAATAAATAATCAATTTTTTCTTTATTTAAATCAGATTTTTAAAATAAAATGCTTTTGGAGGAAAAAGCTTTCTAAATATTTTTCTATTTAAGTTACATTATAGTCCAAAGGCTATTCATCAGGAAATAAGGATTTGTTTTAGGTTTTTCATGTGTGGTAAAACTCAGTCTAAGGTTTTTTGTTTTTTTTAAGTTTAACCACATCAGTTAACAAACAGGGATACATATGCTACAATGTTATTGCTTTAGTTGAATAAATTGTTATTAAGGAAATGATCATTTTTCTCCTTCCAATAAAGTACAGCAGAAAAGTTGTCCAAATATAAACAGTTAACTTATTAAACCACACAATAATTTCATAATTACCTGTCTATGTATTTCTAATAGGTAAAGGTAAAGGTACCCCTGCCCGTACGGGCCAGTCTTGACAGACTCTAGGGTTGTGCGCCCATCTCACATAAGAGGCCGGGGGCCAGCGCTGTCCGGAGACACTTCCGGGTCACGTGGCCAGCGTGACAAAGCCGCATCTGGCGAGCCAGCGCAGCACACAGAAACGACGTTTACCTTCCCGCCAGTAAGCGGTCCCTATTTACTTGCACCCGGGGGTGCTTTCAAACTGCTAGGTTGGCAGGCGCTGGGACCGAGCAATGGGAGCGCACCCCGCCGCGGGGATTCGAACCACTAACCTTTCGATCGGCAAGCCCTAGGCGCTGAGGCTTTTACCCACAGCGCCACCTGCGTCCCCTTGTATTTCTAATAGTATAACCAAATTTTTGATATAACTGTAAAAACTACTCTGAAAATTTATTATTCCAAAAATGAAACCTACATCGGCTAGTAAATATTAAGATTATACCAGCAAGAATAAGTCTTTCTGTAAAAAAAATTATTTAAACCAAGTCTTTAAAAAAAGGTAAAGGACCCCTGACAGTTAAGTCCAGTAAATCAAGTCTTACTGACTAGTGATTTAAATCAATTTTATTTAAATCAAATCCACCCTGACTGTGACGGAAACCAGAGCGCATGGAAACGCTGTTTACCTTCCTGCTGGAGTGGTACCTATTTATCTACTTGCACTGGCGTGCTTTCGAACTGCTAGGTTGGCAGGAGCTTGGACAGAGCAACGGGAGCTCACTCTGTTGCGGGGATTCAAACCGCCAACCTTCTGATCTCAGCAAGCCCAAGAGACTCAGTGGTTTAGACCACAGCTCCACCCACGTCCCACCTACTGCGTAACAGCAAGCACCACAAGACACTGATTTGGCTTGGACAGCCACCTTGGCCCCTGGCCCTCGAAAGGATGCCTCCCTTGGGTTGAAAATGTGCCCCACCCCTGCAATATAAAAAGGGAAGGAAGTAGGGCCAATTTGCATTAGCTACCAACTCCCAAGGTAAAGCCGTATTCTAACGCTCATGATATGCAAAGATTGAAGTCTATTTTTAAGTCATTGGAAACTATAAAAAGCTACAACACTAAATAGCATGCTTATTCCACAAAAGACAGAAACAGACAACAGATTTTCTTTTGCCTGGCCTACCGGCACATTCTGCAATTACCACTGATTCATCAGTGAACTGACAGCCAACTGCTCTTCAAACCAAACATAAGGCATGCTGAACAGAGAT